TTTTTTTTTTTTTTTTTTTTTTTTTTTTTTTTTTTTTTTTATTTAACTCATGTTTTCGTTTCGCTTCTTTTGTTTACATTCTGTGAGAGGCTCTTTGTGGACTTACTTCCCTTGTGACTGTTATTCGTGCTTTTCTTACTCCCACTCTCGTGTGTTGTCCTGTGCTGTTCACCATGGTTTGATGCCAAAGGTGGCTGGACAAGACACAGAAGAGAAAACGGGACTGTATTATTGCCTCCCTCTTGTACAGTTACTCATGCATTTTCGCTCTACTTTCTTTTTGTATTTTCAATGTACGCGCAAATCCGACCACAGGAACGGCCAGGATTTAGAAGCAATTAGTTTTACTTGCGGGGTTTAATCGATGTCTTTGCATGTATTCCATAGGATTGATTTCTGTCAGCTTGTAACATCAGAATGGGATGATCTGATCTTTCGATGACATTAGTAGTAGCTTCATCCACTCACTTACAGACCAAAGAAAAAGGATTCATAACGTAGAAGATATAGAAGCCTGAGGCACCAACCCAAGAAAGGAAACGCCAAACATTTCCATCCCCCAACCAATAATTAACGTAACTCAGTCCATACACCCTGACTTTTCCGCCATCCACACATCTCTCCAAACAAGCACGGTCAACACATACCATCCGGAGCCCACTCATAACTTCATAAAAAAAAAAGAGAGGCAGGGAAAAACAGAAGAAAAATACACCCAGAATGTCCAACCAACAGCCCCGCGTAGTCATCGACCCGCAATCCCTTCAACGACCGCCGTATCCGCCCCGGCGCGGTCCACAAGCTGTACGGGATATTCGGCAAACGAAGGAATACAAAGTGGCTGCTCGACGGTATGTTCTTTCTTTCTTTCTTTCTTCCTATTGAGCTATTTATTTTTTGAAATGAAGATATGGGTTGCGAGTCTAACAACTCGGCCTAACGTTATGTTCCTGGTTGAGTTGAAGATCGGCTGATATTAATAATAACGCTGTGGTAGATGGCTTTCGACGATCGTGGCGTTGCCGATTTTGATGTATACGTCTTATGTGCTTTATGAGAGGAGTGAGTTTTCCTTCTTTTCTCTTCTTTTCTTTTCCTTTCCCTTATCTTAACTTCTTCTTCTTTTGACCCTGGGTTTGTTATTTGGAGGGGTGCTGATTGAGTTGTCTAGCGTATTTGAATAAGACCCAGAAGCATCTGGGTCGGCCGGCGCGGGAGGAGGGGAAGGATGGGAGTGCTTGATTTAGCGGGCTTTTGTACTTGTCTGGTTTACTTGTATATTAGTTTGTGGGTATGTATGAAGTAGTACTTCGTTTTGGTTGGGGTGTGTTTGTTGTGGGGTTGTATTTGTATGCTGTAGGACCTATGTTATTTAAGATACTGTGTTTGGTATACTGTTGGCTGAGATTGGGGGGGGGGGGGGGGGTAGTAGATGGGCTATGGTGTCTCATTGAATATCTGTGACTGTAGGGGTAATTGAACATGCAATGGTATTTCTTTTGGTGTTGGATATCGCGGCTCTTTGTGTACATTTTTGTGTATTAAGCTATGTCGTATGGATGAAGAAGGTCTAAAGGAAATAAGAAAGAGTGGAGAAGTAAAGAAGAATATAAGTTTTGTCACGACCTTAATAAACAATCCCATTAAGCAAAGCACTCTCCCCAGTTCCCACCGGATCTAACAAAGCTCAGCCCCTCGATGAAATCGTCCCGTTTGCACCGGCCATACTTGTCGGCGTCACAGCCCTGCAGCGGAATAACCCGGTCGTTGACTAGTACGCGGACGAGAGGCTCCTTCTCACCCTGGCACTGCATCATCTCGACGTAGGCCCGGGCCCCGAAAGGGACAGTCCAGGCGGATGAATACCCGTTCGTCTCCTCAGGGGACTGCACCGAGGTCTGAGAGAGGGGCTCAGTCTTGTTGTATAGGCCAAGCGCGAAGAAAACGGAGGTCATCGTGTTGTCGTGGGAGAAGTCCGCATAGAGGGTCGCATTGAGCGGGAATGTGGCGGGATTCGAGTCCAGCGTGGTATTGGTGCTGGTGTGATCCTTAACCGGGGACTGGGTCAGGCGAGCGATCAGCTCGTTCGCGAAGCCGATCCCCTGCGCAGGCCCAAGAGGGTTTCCTGCGCCGTAGCCGTAGTACTTCGAGACCGACTGTAGGTAGTCATATTGCGCCCATTCTTCCTGGGTGAACAAAGCGCAGAAGGGGGAAATGCGACTGCCGTCACGGGTCAAGGCGACGGTGTCGAATGAGCACAGGTCCATAAGATACACCACCTCTTTGCTCGAGAGCTTGGTTCCTGGGAGGTTCTTCTCCAGACGCTCAATAATTGAGGGCGTAAAAACATCCGTGAACTTGTCCTCTGCTTCATCTCCTACCTTGCTGTTCTCGAAGACCGTGCAGACACTGTGGTCCAACGTGTTGTTGAATCCTTCGGTCTCGGGGATAACCACGTTGACAATAGGAGCAGGCTGACCCCGCCTGGTCTTAGACTTTCCAAGCTTCGCCTTCTGGAAGCCCTCGATGAATTTCTCACCGGATGCGATAACCCGATCGGAGCCCGAAGCCCGAATGAAAGGAACGACATTCTTGGCGAGCTCCTCATAGCGCTGGTAGAACTTGATACCTGAATCCACCAACTGGTTCTCTCCGAAAGCCGTAAGGTCATCCGCACCGAGGGAGTAGTTGTAAGATTTCAGGAAGGCATACTTCCCGGAGAACGAGGTAGTATTATGCTGGATGGCCTTGATGAGCTTGGCGTACTTCTCGGACTTGCTCTCCGTTGGATACCGCGCGCCGTGACGGGAGAGCACTTGGGCGAAGGTAACCTCACAGTGGTCCGGAACGTCTTCGGAAAGCGAAGACTTGTCGTCGACCGAGAAGTACGGCGAATACTGGCCCCACAGGTGAGAGACTGCAGAGAAGCACTGGTACCCTTCGTCGACAGTATTGCACGACTGCTGTCTTGGGCTGGTCACTGGAGTGCCGGCAACACTGGATGAAGATCAGCCGCCGTTCGATTAGGGCATCCACTATAGGGCAATGCCTGTCGGGGAACTTACCTTGAGAGAAGGAAGGTAATGGGAAGGAGCACGCTAAGGACAGCCATGGCGCTCACGATTGCAGCCCTTTTACTGATAGATAAGCGACGGGACAAGCTCTCCACGCGGGCGGGACGGTCCTCATATAAGCCCTTCATTTCCGTCTCATGTTGATCCTTGTGCCTCTCACGATCCCGCGATATCGGACGGAGATTCAGCCGTGGTGCTAGTGAAGCGGGAGTGTAGTGGGGGTGAAAAAGAATCAGTCTGCAAGGTAAGACATGGTATTCGATCGTCTATGATTCTTCGAAGGTGCAGACCGGGGGAAATAATAATCTACGAGAAGACCGTCACGGATGGCCTGAGTTGTCTGTGTGACGCTGATAGGCCGTGTTGGGCCCACGTGGGCACCGGAATGGTGACAAGTGTGCCTGAGGAAAACGAAAGGGAGACGAAAGCGTTCCATAATCCTAGACATGTCTCCGGATTCCGGCCGGACTTTTGTTCAATTGAAGTTAAGATCTGAGGTGCAAGCTTGATTAACTAGTAGTACACGGCTCCGTCGCAATGATCCACTCCTCACGAGAAGCCGTTGCTTTAGTAGGTTTGATATTGATCAGGGGCGGGCTATCAATCAGTCGACTACAGCCAATACTCCTCCCACGCTTTCTTTCGGGGTCTGGCTAAAAATGATAGTTAATTTAATATACTTTTTTTTTTTTCCTTCTTTCTTCTTCTTTCATCTAACGTTCATCATTTCCTTACTCTCGGGACAAACCACGTATCCCAAGTCAATCGGTGGAGACCTCACGGCAAGTTCAAGATTCACATGGCTACGAAACCACTCCATGAAGACTGAAGTCCTCCGAAAAACGCACAGGTCAAGATGTCAATGTTTCAATGTTTCAATGCTTCAATAAATCAATCTAATGACCTAATAAAATCTGGAGGTGGTGCTGTCCACATCTGATAATCTCTACCCGTGATTCCCATTTGATAACGATCATCGCCGGATGTCGCCGAGCCCGGCAGAGATCCACAACGGTCGTTGACAGCGCCTTGTTGGTTTCTTTTCTTCTTTTTCTTTTTTTTTTTCTTTTTTTCTTTTTTTTTCTTTTTTCTTTCTTTTTCTTCATTTTGGTTCTCTCGCTCTTTCTTCTCGTTTTGCCTGAAGTCAGGAGATATTCTCAATTTTTTTTAGGGGTATTTCTTGTTCTTGTTCTTGGGCAATGATATTGTACAGGTCTATGGTAGATACCACAATCCCAAGTTTGAGTAGCCAACCAAGCCTTTGAAACAGTAATGGGGAGATCGCTCTCAGCTGCACGCTCAAATCAAAATTAGAGCCGTGGTGGTATCTTTCGTCTAACGGGGTCCACGGTCACAAGCAAACCAGAACAAATCCAAACAACACCGAACAGCCCAAGATCAAGCGACGCCTCGCCATTGACACTTTCCAGGTGCTATGTAAAAACAAACCAGCGAGGCGAATCAAATCGACGTCAATCCAAACCGGACAGACTCCTTTCCAACACTCTCAACCAAATGAACGGGGGTAAAACAAACTATAAGCAAGAAGGGGGGAAACATCGACAGCGAAAGCAGACAAAATATATGCAGGAATGTCAGGAACCCAGTTCGCACTAGTCAATAAGAAAGCCATCTGTCTTTCGCCGTTCGAATAATCCAAAATTTCCATGCTGATCGCACAAATGACACTATCTCCTCCCATGCAATGAGATTCTCGCCTCAGGCGAGATGTATGATATATGATCAAGCAATTATCCCCGCGAATCTCCTCGGATGCTAAAAACGGCACCCGACGATCCGCAGAAGAGAAAAAAGAATGTTAAAGAGAGAAGGCGTGCCCCTTTCAAAGTTGCGCGTAGATTCCCCTCAAAAAGAAACATGAGGAAGCAGGACATAAGCTGGGACATATGAGCCCAATGTCTGGCTTCCATAATCAAGTGCGTGTCCATGGCCCAGGGAACTGTGGCAGTGATCTTGCCTGCTGTTCATCTGCTAGAGTCCCTCGACTTGTCCAGTTACCAGCGGATCTGGTAGCCGAGGCGGGCGGTGGCACTCCGCTTGTATCCACAACTCGCTGTGTGGCATCTGTACTAGGCCAGACCTGATGGTCACGATCCGAGGATTGAAAGGAGCGTGGAGAGGCTGGCCGGGTCGGGATTTGACCGGAAGGCACCAGGCGGCTGACGTGTTCGCGGTAGAAGTCCCTCTCGGAGCGATAAAAATCTCGCTCTTGCATCAAGGCCCGAATCTCTTGGGCCTGTCTTTGCAGTGCTTCTGTCTGCTTCCGGATTTCATCCTGCTGGGCCGTGATCTTCTGCTCCATTTGAAGCTCGTTCCGTTTTCTGTTGCGGAACCTCCTCGACGCATCGCTATTGGCCTTTCGTTTCTCGGCTTGGCTTGAGGAGCCGGATTTCAGGTCTAGGATACAGGGAATCATCCCGGGGTAAGGGGGATTTTCTGCCTGGGAACCAGGCAGGACGACAGGCTCTTCGCTCGCATGCTTATTTCCTGCCACCACTGACGGCAGTCGACTAACTGGCTCCATCGTCGTATGCGGAGTGGAATGCAAATATGATGGCGCAGGCTGTGGGCCGGCAGCAGGAGCCGCCGCAGGCGACGACCGTCCAAACTGGCTAAAGGTCGAGACGGGTGTCGTAGGGCTCGTCTCCTGAGGGCTCGGGTTTGGTGTCGGGTTAGCACTTGTCCGGCGGCTATGGAAGGTTGGTGTGGAATGAACGGACACTGGAACAGGCTGTTGATATCCAGACACGGACATCGGCTGTCCAGTTGCCACATCCACAGGCAAGGGTGAACCAGGCGCCACCGTATATGCACCCGGTCGTGTTTCTTGCACTAGCGGAGATTGGGAAGAACTCGCTTTTCGTGGATAGCCGACCCCAGAGCTGACAAAGCGAGCTGACGGTGAAACGGGAGCGATGATCTGACGGCTTCCCATTCCTGGAGATGCCGATAGGCGCTTTGCATGTGTTGATGGGGATGAGAGATGTACCGTCGCGGGGGGCAGATGCTGACGAGATGGAGAGGTTGAGAACTGGTCTCCCAGTCCTTCCCGAGCCGTTTCCGCAGTGGACGCGGAGACTAATGGTGCTTTTGCCGGGGGGTTTAAGATAGAATCGACTCCAATGGGACGAAGCTGGGTAGAGTTCAGCGGAGGCTCAACAGGGGTTGAGGGATGCCAGGAAACAGGCCGCGGACGTCCAGGCTCGCGGCCGTTCAAAGACGAATCCTCGTCTACAAAAGGGCGTTTCTTCTCCAGGGCAATCTGTTTCTCAGTTCGAAGGGCATCTTCTGATGAAGGGCCTGTCACTGGGGAAATCGGCGACATATGCTCCGAGTCTCTTTCGATGGACTGCCGCAAGAAGCTGGGGCATGGCGGGGCCCCCCTTCTCTCCAGGTGAGCCGAAGACTCGGGAAGGGGAGAGCGAGAGAGGGCGCCAGTCGGTTGGGTGAGATGGTAACCAGACAGCGAATGATAGTGATGAGTGGAATGCCCCGGGTTGGTGTACGGGGTATTAGTCAACCCACTGATCGCTAGGGTCGCCACGGTGAAAAGGGAGAAAATAAATCGGGAAGGTTAAAGCTGGATAGAGACGGGCTCGAGGAAATTCTGAAGCTTGATTCCTCGGTAGTATCTCCTCCGTACCGGTCGTTGAAGCAGCAGCCACTGAAATCACGGTTAATCACACCCGTAGTTCGATGCAGTATAGTAGTGAAGCTCGTCACAACGATGTAAAGTCCGAAGGAAAACAACAGAGTAGAAGAAGATAGATAGAATCAAATAAGAGAAACAGAACAAGAACAGAAACTACAACAAAAATAAAATAAAATAAAAGCTAGGTTCTTGAAATAGAATTGGAGCAACGCAAGGGTACCTGTCAGAAGAGTCCAAGTAAAGAGGTAAAGAAGTAGAGCAACAGAAGGGGGAATTTGAGGAATAGAAATAAAGATGTAGAGGGCAAAGAAAGAGGGCAAGAAAGTCGAATCAGCGACGAGCAGAGGAGAAATGGAAATTATTTCTAATTATTATTATTTTTTTTTCTCAGTCCGGAGGGATTGCTTCATGTTCACGCCGCCGTTTATGACAAGACCAGCAGCAAGCAATCCGGCGGTGTGAATGGAAAAAGTTGGTGAGTGGGACCAAGTGATGATGGGTTTGCGTTAAACCACAGGCATGGCATGGGGGGAGTGACAAAAAATAAAATAAAATAGAATAAAATAAAAAGGAAATGATATTTTGAAAAAAAAAAAAAAAAAAAAAAAATAAGAAATTTAAGAACAACTAAGACAAGGGACCCAGAAGAGCTCATGAACTGACAATTGGGAGTCAGCGAGGGTTCCAAAAAAAAAAAAAAAAAAAAAGGCAGTTAGTTACGTGCTGTTCACTTACTTAGAGTTGTGTCTAATGCCCCATCCCAACAGCCTATTACTAGGCATACTCTCCTGCTAACGTATATAAACTCCGTCTTTGAGGTACATACATACAGGATACCTAACCTAACCTAACCTACTACCTAAAAGGTCCCAGGATCCTAATGCATGTGCATGGGCTTTTAGGCCCATTCATACAATGGATTAGGTACACAGCCGGGTAGAAATACAGACAGTCACCTTGGTCATTACACATACTGTACTGTACAAATCGAAACCACTCAAGGTACCGTACATGCGGAAGCAATCACGGACCAAAAGTACTAGCACTAGAGGGACACGCTACGATGGAGCCCGGGGAATCGGGAATGATTTAGTTGCGGTCGTCAAAGGAATTCCAGAATGCGTTAGTGGGCAAATTCCTTTGGAGAAGGAATAAATTGTATGTACTTAAGACTTAGCTTAGTGACGACGGATTAATTTCTTTTCTAAATTTCTGGGCAATTAATTGACTGATAATCCAAGAGAGTTACACCTGAAGTGGATCTCAACCTTATTAATATGAAAATGGCAGATTCCATTAGAAAAGTAGGGGGTTTGAGTTCGTCGTGAAAGGCTCAGAGCTGCACGTACCGGACGTACCGGACGTACCGGCCGACAACCCTACCTGCATACCTAGTTTTTGGTATACAAAGAAGGAGGGACCCTGAAGCGATGCTTTGACAACAAGAGAACTCGCCTAGAAAATCGTACCCCACTACGAGATGCACTAAAGAGTGGCTCTTGAGACTGGGGAAGATGCAGGTGAATTAGAGGCGCCGTCGCCATGGTCATGGAGTCATAGACAGGGCCAGTGGAGGCGCGAAATTACTTGGTATCATACTAACCGAATGGGTACCTCTTCGGACCCCTCAAGGCTAAAGGTATCCATAGCGACCTTTAAGGAGTATCTGTGTAAAGATACTACCTACACATACGGACGCACGGGTTGCTACTTACCGCCACTATGGGATCTCCGTTCTTTTTTGTGGTTTGTATTTTATTTATTTCATCTCTCTTTCATTTTATGCTATTTTTCGGTCAAATCGTCCTACATATATAAGCTGATACAGGGCAACGGAGGAAATCTGGAAATCACAATTTAAAAACCCCCTCACAAATAGTAGCTCAGTAGTTCAATCTCCAGCACCTATTAACTTAAAAATACAAAAATAATAATAATAATAATAATAATAATAATAATAATAATAATAATAATAAATAAACGCCACGGGAATAAGTTTTCAACTTCATCTTGTCCAAAAATAATAGTCTTACCAGTGTCTTGGAATGCTCTGCCACAGAGCCAATGTCTCACTGCTCTGTCACTTTCTCCAAAGATTCCCCGAAATCCACACGGCTCTGGCAGTTACCGCTCGCATTTAGCATTTGATCTTAGCAGAAAGATATCCTCTTTCACAGTTCTAATATTCTTCGGTGCTTCTAATTTGTCTCGGGACAGGCTATATCCGGTAGTACTAATGACCCAATCTTGTTAAGATGAATGCCTGACGTGTGACTGACTCGTGTTATTTAGTTCAACCGATGATCAAGGTGATTTCATAATACAGAGAATACCGGTAGCTTCATCACCGGCTGCTGCTAACAAGCTTCTAGTAGCGACTGGCTGGTCGTTCATGGCTCTAGGCAGTTTCATCTGGCCTGTGCTTCTATCTGTCCACTCAAAACGATTGAGTTTGACGCTGTGAGGCAAGTCATTGCGAGGAAAGCAACGAAACAAAGATCCCCGAAGAGCTTAGAGCCGAAAAAATAGGGCGGAGATCATAGGCTCCCATTTTGGATCAACAACTAATTCGAATCACAATGTTGTGTATGCAGTGTGCTTCACTTTGGCCCCAAAGTTTGGCGAGTCGTGTTGACGGTCTAAAGTGCACTAATTGACTTTCAAGACCTCTGCTGATCGCCGTTGCCCTTCTCCTTAATTGTTTGCCCCCACCTTCCGTCATCTCTTGGTTCTGACAGTTGCCCTTTCGCAAGTCATAGCTGGATCTTTTCGCAAGAGGCAAGGCACCTATACGGCCGGATGCTTGGCAGAGCTCTTGTTCCCAGTTGTTCATCTGCAGTACAGAAAGGATTGATCTTGGTGGTACGCTACCCTCTCGAATCAGATGAATCATTAACAGGGGGGTATTATCATCGACTTCTCCTCCCCTGAGTGGCCCATGAGCGGGATCCTGCTTGCCTTTTCCGCCTTGGTTGCGCATTGAAGGCATGTTGGAGCGGAACCTGGTATATTTGTCTCGGCTACGTCATTGGGCATCAATCGCAATGTAGGCAGTTCAACAAGGTTTAGAAAGTTGATGCCTCGTCCAAGTCCCACGCCTCTTTTCTGGTAACAAAGACTCGGGGAATCCAGGACAGATGCACGTTCCAACATACCGGTACTCCGATTAAAGATGGTTAGTACGGATTGTTACGGCAAGTTTTCTTGCCCAGGGGGTAAACCGCTGACACTGAAGGGAGAGAATCGACCTCGACCTGCAAACGTAGCGATCTGCAGGCTATACGACACAGCCCGAAACTATGTATAATGATCAGTAACTAACTTCCTAAACATACCGCATCAGTATGCGTCCTGTCAAAGGAACAAGCTGAGGCTGCATGTCTCATACAGCAACACTACATATAAAACACAGATTGACTCAAGAAGGTAATGAGATCACGATGTCAGAGGGAGCAACCCAACCATATTGCCTCTCACCGCTAGCGGGTAGTGGCGGTCTTTGGTTCACTCCTGAATTAACCCATCAGCCGTTGTTACCGCTCTCTTCCACAAAAGGAAAGGAAAGGAACGAAAAGAAAAAAAAGTCTAGAGGCCCTGGTTCCCCGATGGCTTTGAGAGCAAGTGATAGACCGATGGAATAAAGGACGATTCTATGCAGCTACAGGAGAAGCATACGGCATACAATAGACAACTGATGTATGTAGCAGTGGAGAGAAGGACAGGCAAGAAAAAGTAGAAAAGTGATTAAAAATAAGAAGGAAAAAAAAGAAAAAACCTACCAGCAATGGACCTCTAAAGCGAACAAGGTCGGTAAGGATCAAGTGAGCTCCATCTTCTGCAGAAGACCAGCAAATTACCTGCAGTGAGTTTAGGAAATACTTTGAGGATCTAACGCACTATTGGCCAAAATTTCGAAAGCGTAATTTTGAGCGCCTCGGGTTGTGCTCCAAGGGTTACGGAGTGTGGCTTCCTTCAATTAGTGGCATAGTGTCAGTGAACAGTACCCACCTACAGCCAGGTAGACGACCAGCATCACACATTTTAGTTTCGCGTGGACGCAAAATGTCAAGTGTTGCAAGCTGCGGCCTTCATTGGAGGTTGAAACCCCACGGAGAAAGGCGGTATCTCCATGGACGACTTAGGGAATGATTAACGTCACAAATAGCGGGTTCCCGGGCTTCCCAAAGGGGAACTCAGTTTAGTATTAGTGTCAGTAGACAGAAGAGTTAACAACGGGTGATAGTAGATCGTGTGGGCCGGAGCGAGGATAAAGCGTGGTCTGGAATGAAAGGTAAACGCGGAATGGATTTCATGGGATGGTTGCGGGTCATGCTCTTTCCAGGCCACATGGTCGGTCGTGCCATACGCACGCTATTATATTCCTTCTTCGATAGAGACCTTGCTATCGCCGTTAGCGTCAAGATATACAGCGCGTGGCAGATTAGTACTTAAAGAAAGCTAGTTATATCACGCGTACCAGCTTCTTGGTTTTACTCTCTATTTTTTATTGGTTTTTATTTTATTTATTTATTTATTTATTTATTTTCTTTTTCTTTTTTACGACTATTGCGGGAAGTGGAGTCAATTTATTTATCCATTTCGTATCTGCCATGTGCGGAAGAGAGAGTACCGGAATTAGTTTCCGCCTGGTACGGTGGCTTTTCTGGAAGTTGTGTGGTCTAGTTATAGAGTACCGAACCTTGAACTGTCAGAAACGGAATAATGAGAAGGGAAAGAGAACGAGGAATTGAGGGGAGGGGAGGGTGGCGATGGAGACAGAGGTGGTGTGAGCACCTACTAGTATATGAGCGTAGGCGCAGATTGCATGAAGTAGCACCAGCTCCGCAGGATGTATCGACGCCTTGTCACTCAGGCGGTTTTCCCAAGAATGTGGTTCGCGGCCTTACCCGCTTAAAACTGTATTCACTCCGGAGCCATCACCCTTTTTATGACAGGCAGATGGATACGAGGTGGGCTCTTTCGTCTTTCTCGAAGTTTTATCAGACGACAGCATGCGAAGATAAACTAATTATCCACTCTCCTCACCAATCTGGTGTCATAGTATCTTTATTATTGGCACTTGATCGCATCATTGCAGATAGAAATTTTAGTCATAGATTGGTTTACTTTTTCTTTTTCACTTTCTGTATTTCTCCTCTCTCTTGCGCCCCTGAATCCCAAGTGCATGTCTTCGGTACCGCTGTATGCGCCAGTTAAATCCCACCGATAATTGATAGGTCCAATGGGACTCATGGCACTTATATTAAAATGATAGACAGCACGATCCCTAGGTTTGTCAATCTTGAAAAGAGGGAATTGCAACAGAAAAAAATATAATAAAATAAAAATAAAAATAACAGTACAGAAAAACAAGCAAAAAGTCAAAAGAACACTATGGGCTCCACTGTTTACTCCGTACTGAAAAAGACTGTATGTGCTGTACATAATACATCCAATTATAATCTATGGCCCAACCACTACATCCGATATTATCTGATGTTAAACCTTGACCCTGGTCCACTTGGTTGTGGATTCGATACGTGGTAAACAGCTAATTCAATAACCCCCAAAAGCAAAGAGGCAATATACGAAGATAAAAAGACAAGGCCTCTGCAGATAACATTAACGCCCCAAGCCTTCCACGAGTGTCAGCATCATCCTGCATCCTGGAGACCCACCGATGGTGTGCTGTCCCGAGGAACCCTTCAATGGGATTCTTAGATGCCTAGGTCAAACTTTGACCTAGATCCCACAGTATGTGCGGGATATGCATGCACTGTCATAGGTCACGCTTGCCTTCTGCCAACCTTTGAACCGAATGAACTGAGAAGATTTTCGGGCTTTGCGCGGGACAACCATACTACATCCGATCTTTTAGATCCTTTATGCATGCTGCATCTGTTTACTTACTCACAGAACAATGCTATTATAGTGGACAGGGGGTCTGCTAGACGGTTAAATGTAGAACTGGAATTGTGTATGCGTCTCACTCAGCTACTCTCCGTATGGATTACGAAGCTCCTTTCTCCCTCGTACCCGGCATACAGTATGTATGTAGAACATCCTAGATGGACTGTCCCGGGCCGGCTTAAACTTTGACCTCTCTGTCACATAACCATATCCCCTGAGAAGGTTCTTCTTGCATTTTGCATTGGCTTCGGCTTTAAGTGATTAATCATTTTTTATCTGGTTCGACCATGAAATGATACCCTGTCCGTTTTCGATGTATGGCTCTCCACCCGATCTCGGCCGACTGTATGCTTAATCACACGGGGGGTAAAAGAAAAGAAAAGAAAAAGGATAGAAATAGAAATAGAGGCCGATGTAGTTTCAAATGTTCTTGGGGTACAAAATGGATCCCGTCTTACATGATACATATACGAGGGATTCTTCAGCTTGCTTTTCCCGTTTTGAAAAGTACGTGCGTCGCCTTCCACCTTATTGGGTGCTGCCTCGAGGCTGCGGTCACTCCCGCACCTAAAGTAAGCCCAATCTGCAGCCATCAGCCGTCATCTTACACCCAACACAAACATCTTCATATTGGCTCCGAAGAGCAAATGGACTACTGCAAGGGGATCACCTTCGGCGAATACTCCATGTGCATCGACGCCAAGAATCCAGAAACCACTCGACCAAGGAATTGCCCCAATAGTTTGAGGAACAAACGTACTGGTCGCACAAGGACTCGATGACCTGCTGTGGCTGTTCCAATTTGCCCATCTGCGATCCTCCGGAAAACAACCCGGGTTTCAGCGCTGAAAAAGAATCTATTCGAATCTCCCTTTCCGAAAACAAGGAAGTGTTTCAGCTTCGGCAAACATATCTGAGTCACTATCTATAGGTAAACAGAGTACTTCTTGATGGACGACGTGATGGCCCCACAGGAGGACTCTCAAATGGTATCTGATTGATCTTCTCTAGGGTTGAGTGGCCATTGCTTCGTCCTCCACACTACCAACCATGCTATACGGAGTACGTACATCAGTTTTGGAATCGAAACTCATTCTTGGGCTTGCCCCTGATTCCCACGTCAACCTTATAGACTCGCCCTCCATACCGGATTGAGTTCGGGAACTGCTCATCATCGGTGTCATCCTTGGCGGTGGTGATGAGTAGTTCGGTCCCCACAAAGATCGGGCAGGTGATGTTTCTCGTGGGAAGCGACACTTCTCCAATGACTTCCCCTTCCGGCGAGATACGGATGACTTTACCACCCCCGTAGATGGCGCTCCAGATACAGCCTTCGGCATCAATGGCAAAACCATCGGGTTCCTTTGGCTCTCCCAAATCAAAGTGGACTCTACGGTTGCTGATCTCACCAGTTTGGGCGTCAAAGTCAAACGCGTAAATTTTGCCAGTGGGTGAGTCGGTCAGGTACATGGTATCGTCCGCATGATTCCAGCCAATCCCATTGGGGATAGTCAGACCTTCAACCATACGGTGCACCGTCATGTCGGGGTCCAGTCGGAAGAGAACAGCCTCGTTGACCGGGGACTGCACTTTGGGGTCATTCATTGAACCAGCCCAGAACCGCCCATGGCTGTCGACCGCCCCGTCGTTGAAACGCATTCTGTTTTGGGTGAATCCGCTTAGTCAGATTTTACGAACAGTAGCTGAGCAAACTTGGATTTCACTCACATGCGAGCTCTTTCTGGGTCCTTCTGGTCATCCCAAACCTTGGAGATGTACGAGAGCTGGCCCGTGGCGCGGTCGAGAAGAGCATACCCATGTTTTGCGGCTACGATTATCTGGCCGTTGTAGGCATCGCCAGAATCTTTGATGTTGGCAGTTACCCTAATCTCACGTTTCGCCGATCAGTTCAAGGTTGCCGGAAAAGCTACAGCTGCAGGGGTGTCTGTCCACGCACCCGATTGAAGCAGACGTATCAATAGTCTTCAACGAGTCTGGGCCTTTGGCTAAGTCCACCACATAAAACTTCTGCTCCCAGATATCAACAAAACGAAACTCATTTCTAGGTTCGTCATAGAATGGCCCCTCCAACAAGGTCCCTGCGATATCGATGTACGGCTAATGGTTGAAAAGTGAGAATGAATCCATTATTTACGCTTCTCCCGCCCGTGGCAATACCGCACAGGGTGTTCAGATTCCTACCTCAGAGACCGTCCATTTCTTGAACGTTGACATGATGATAATTTGATTAATCAAACTACTGAACGCAGGAGGCCGTGCTTTGATTTCGGGATCTGAACGGTACCACGCTGAAGGCGCTGGATCTGGACCCTGGACAAGGAAACGAGCCGAGGGTAACCAAAGATAGATGGTTACTATCAATAACCTTGTAGGAACGTGGATTGTTTGGGCTGTGCGTTGTGACTGGTGAGAAGCCAAAAGGGGACGAGGATCGATTCAATAGTCTGACCAGATTCTTTGAGGGGACTAACTTATCCAGTGTCGTGGTTGTGGGCGCCAAGACAATCACCCCACATGACTGATCGATGGGAATTCTTACTCTCACTAAGGTCAACTCCGTTTCTGATACGCATAAATCATCCTATCAGCGGGTCGTCCCCGGTGAGCCTAGTACTGGTGCGAGTGGTACTACGACGGGTCCATCCCGCTGGATTCCATACACCGCTTTCCTCGGAGTAGTGTCCGACGATGAGATTTGTTTCCATTGAAGCGAAAGTACCTTTGGCGAACTAGCCCCAGAAATTACTCTTTCAGGAGTTGGTGGCTTTTTGTTTCGGTATATTGTAAGGTATCATTGACGCAGCTGGTCGCCAAAGAGGAGTGGGTAGACAAGGTTATAAAAAAAGAAAATTAAAAAAAATAAGGAAAAAAAAAAATTGGAAAACCAGGGGGGAAAAAGTACGCCCCAAGATCCTTAACGGTTCAGCAGGATAATTCCCCGGGCCAATTGCTTCTCAAGCTATTGGACTTTTGGTGGACATGATTATTGGGAAATCTGCACCAGGACACGTATCCACAAAATGGGGCTATCACACGTCATGTGGATAAACAATGCGAGACAACAAACGTGGTCATAGAACCTGGAAGGGGGAGTAATACAAGAGGAAATCACTCAATCTGTTGCTTGATGCGTTCGATTAATCAAAAACTGCCGCCTGGGACTTCCACCGTGCGCGCGTCTTGGGGACCGTGGCCACGGTGCGGCAAACTTCCCGTGTTACGCCTCATTTGTTCCAGACTAGGACCTCGAGTGGAGAAATCAGAAAACGGGGTCATATCAGCAAATAGGAACTCATCCGGCCTTTCCTCCTTAGAGCTGGACAGTGTGGAAAAGAATTAGCTGCCGGTAGGTCTATCCCAAGCCTTAAGCAAGCTGCGTGACAGAACTGAGGTCGCCTTGCGACTGGAGGACTCCACTTTCGTCCCTGGTGGTTCCCTGGTTGCAGGCACGGCACGACGGACAGGGTCCCAAGGTCCCGGACTTTTGGCGCAGATTGCCTTACCGGCTGGGGATTCTGGCGTACAGCCGTTAAATGACAGGTTTGCATTGCTTACTGCATTGATCACCAGTTCTTTGTGCGTCTCCTACGGCCTCTGCCACCACAATGCCCTCTCCCTGCATTGCTGGCCTGCGGTCAGACATGCTCAGATGTCTGGGGAGTGCTTCTCTTCCGTGCGTACAGAACCGGAGAATGAAGCGGCCCACTAGACTTCTTCCAATTCCTTCGATGGAGCTCTACCAGGGCGGCGAGACCATTCAGTTCGGCAGTGGATAGGCTGTCTGTGCTACTAACGCTAGAAGTTCTAGCGAAGGCCGCAATTGTCAGAGACTCTGCCTTAGTACCGTTCGTTTAATTGAGGGCGGTCTGGCAATGCTCACGACGTTAAGTGTCGCATATACTCGGTACCTTGGTCGAGAACCGGCCGAAAGGTCTCTGGGGTGATCGCCAAAATAGTGCTAAAGCTACTCCGTACACCAGAAAACGGCAACATCAGTGGGATCTACAGTGCATCAAAGTCTACTTTGGACAGAGTCGCTTTCGACTGTGACTGTCGGTCTGCCGTGCAGGAAGCTTGCCAACGGTCGTATTTGTCATATTGATAGATCGAAGGTGTGATTCTTTTTTCCCCTCCCCCCTCCCCCTTAATTTCTTCCGAGGTAACAAATTCCATGAAGCGGAGTCGGCCAGCTCAAACATGGATGCATTGTTGGGCCGTTGAGTGTACCTACAGAGGCAACCCAGACGCTTGATATTTTGATGTGATCCACCAACGAATACACGGGTCCAGTTACTAGATTGAGCAGCAGCGGAAAATGCGGTGTACAGAGTCAGCTCACGTCGGACGCAGCAGCGTATCCATCCTTCTCCGTCCTGCCTCAAGAATTGGAATTCCACTGTCCGACCGTTAAGAGCGGATCCAAATCCGGTGCGTCGGTAATGATAATCGAACAGGCATCGACCGATATACATACGTTCTATACTGAAGCTTCGAGGAGGCCTCATGCAGATGGATGAAAATGGGATTTAGGCAGGCAGCCTCACATGATCAATTCTTCATGCAATGCAAGACACAATTCGTAACTTACATGATGGATGCATGAGAGGTGATCTTGTATCGTACCGTTCCAGACGGTACCAGTACCGGTATCAGACGTACTGAATACCAAAAACTCATGACTGAAATTCAGTCGAAACCCACTCTCAGACCCTTCAGCCTTTACTTTTCTTTTCTTTTTCTTTTCTTTTTTTTTAGTAATCTCTTTTTTTTTTTTTTTCTTATTTTCTTTTTCTTTTTTAATTTGTTTTCCCCCTACTGCATGAAATCCGTCGCCAGATAAGAATGAGATCCCACAATCCCCCTTTCCACGATCGAATCACGCCATGAAGGCAGTCCTCAGGTGCAGGCAAGATGGACCTCCACAGCAAATAAAGACGCCAAAATGCCTACCACGCAGCCCAACCAAAGAGCAAATCCAAATAAGGATTGCTGCATGCTGCAACTAACAGGAAGCATCCCACTCCAAAGCTGCCACGACAGACATCTCAAGAAACCCAACCGACGGGCCAACCACACCGCAGCATCAAAATTCCAACGCTTGGCTTTTTGTCATTGGCGGGGTATTTTCTGATTGCCGCGATTTTCCTCTCTTTTTCTCTCTCTGCTTTTTCCATCTGAATGGATGTGGCTGTGGATTGGCTGGTGCGCCAGGAATTTCTCATTCCACTACCTCTCTTCGGGTTAGGTCTTTATTAGGTACCGAGGGAGAGTACTACCTGGCTGATCTGTCCCTGTCCCTACGAAGACAAAGGTGTGAAGCTGAGGTGGTAGTGATTGTTGTCGTGCATCTAGCCTAGGTGTGTGGATGCATTCGTTGTTTGGGGCGAGGTGGGCGTCCCTGATTGGGGATCCCGACGTGTAGATGTTGAGTTGTCGTGCTGTGTGTCTCGTTTTGACTTCCATTGAATGTATACCACGGTGGTTAGGAAGTAGGCTTGGTCGTAGTGGGTACCGAGTGATGTATGCTATGTAGTTTGCAGGCGACGGGTAGCAAATTAATTAACTTACACTTGCTGACCCTGCATTGCATTCGACCAGGATGTGAGATCTATACTTGGGCATCTCATGTAGCTAGCTACGTACAGACTCGGGGTCTTCAATCCTCCATCAATATATATGAGACATCCATATCACCCTTTCACAGAAAGACTCTATCCAAGTTCCAAACCCCCCCCCTTCCTACCCAAATTCACCCGTATGCCTACCTCAAAAACCCCCCAATATTCAAACCCTCACCAAAGTAGTCAAAATGTAGATCCCAAGATCGGGTACCAACACATCTCACGTGGCCACTTACATAAAGCAAGAGCAACGCAACGCAACTACGAGTAGTTAACAAACGCCAGTACATTCCAAACTCTGTCCAGCATCACAACAAATACACCTCTTTTCTTTATTCCCTTCACCGGTTGCTCACACACAAAAAAAAACATGCGTTAGTGTTAGTGTTACCATCTCACTCTCAACCAAACCCCGCCAACAGCGCCCCATTGGACACAACCCCCGATACCTCATCACTCACCGAGCATATCCCAAAAAAAGCACTTTGGATCTGGTTGGAGATGTAGATCTCTAGGCTTGCTTTATTGGACACAGTTGATCTCGGGTTGGGGGAATAGGGATTGGACTAATGATCTTATCTGCGCGTGATCATGCATGTGCTAGTTAGTTATATTAAATATATTGAGTATCAGATGGAGATATGTTGGTACTCGTAGCAGATCATCTAGACTTTGTCATCTTTGTCCTTGAGCATCTTTTTTTCTCCAGGTGTAACCCAGTCTATAGATAGTTCAGAGCATCATTCTGGCTATGATTCACCCGACTAGATCATCGTATCTGGTACTAACTCATTATTACTACAAAGATATCCAAGTTAGCTAGTTCCCCAAGTTAGTACTAGTAATAGATCTAATAAAATCTCCCATCAGCAACACCTCCCACACATATGACAACCCATGCTCTAAGAAACCAGATCAGCTTGAGGCCGGAACGATTGGAGTGACGCGTATATTCGGCGTGGCGAAGCCTGGTTCTCACTCTCGCTGTGGGGTCAAAACTGTATGCACGGCTAGGCGATGGGATATCTCGATTAAGCTGGACAAGTTATGTATGTATACGTGCCTTGTTAGGCGGTTCGGCATGATGTGCAGCCCTTACTTGGGGCCATGCATGTAGGCTTGGGGTGTGGCGAATCGTGGTGGCTTGTTGGGGGTTTTTGGGTTTGTTGGTGTTGTGTACGTATATACTATGTATGTGTGTTTGTATGTATGTCTGTATGTGTGTGTGTGTCTGTGTGTGATTTAAGGTGGGAGAGTGTTTGTGATGTGCCTATTGCGTTGAAGGTGAGATGAGAGTTTGTCGGGTAGGGGTTGGATTTGATGTAGGAGGTTGTGGTTGTGGTTGTTGGGTCCAATGTGGGTATACCACGTTTCTTATTCTCTGGTTTGGGTTGAATATTATGTGCAAGGTGTATTTCTGAGTATGTTTACTATGCTCTATCTTGTCTCTCGTTGGTGGATTATCTGCATGATTGCTTGCTGGATAAACTGGCTATTTTTGTAATTTTTAATTCAACTGGCATCTGGCTATCCTATATACAAAACGTTACACATCATCAATGGGCTTGCCATGCATTATATTACAGTTTGGATCCGAGGTTGACATGAATAGCCTTGACCTGCGAGTAGGCCTCCAATCCGGCCTCACCCAGCTCACGGCCGATACCGCTTTGCTTGGTGCCACCGAAGGGGACGCGGAAGTCGCTGTCGTTGCTGCTGTTAATCCAGACCATGCCTGCTTCGATCTCGGCGGCCACACGGTGCGCCCGCTCAATATCCTTAGTGAAGATGGCTGCGCCCAGTCCATATGTCGTGTCGTTAGCGCGGGCCACGACCTCGTCCTCAGCGGCAAAGCTGGAAATCACGACGAAGGGGCCGAAGACCTCCTCGCGATAGATACGCATGTTGTCCTTCACGTCGGTGAAGACGGTTGGCGCAATGTAGAAGCCCTTGCCGTTGCCGATGTTCTTGTAAGGCTCGCCGCCAGCGACGAGTTTTGCGCCTTCGGACTTGCCGGTCTCGATGTACGAAAGGACTCGGTCGTACTGCGCCTTGGTGACCTGAGGCCCCTGGAAGGTGTCGTCGGCGAAGGGATCCCCAACTTTGCTGGTCGAGGCCACTTCCTGCTTGAAAAGCTCGATAAACTTGTCATAGACCGATTCGTGGACCAGGACACGAGAAGTTGCTGTGCAGACCTGTCCTTGGTTGTACATGATGCCGATATGCGCCCATTTAGCAGCCTGCTCAATATCTGCGTCGTCGAAGACGACTAGAGGAGATTTACCGCCGGTTTCAAGGGTGATGTTTTTCAAGGTGCCGGCAGCCAATTTCATGACCTCGCGGCCGGTCAAGGTAGAGCCGGTAAAGGCAACCTTATCGACATCAGGGTGAGCCACCAGGGAGCTGCCGGCAACTCTTCCGAAACCATTGACGATGTTGAGAACACCTGGGGGGAATCCGGCTTCTTTGACGAGCGTGGCGAGGTAGAGGATGCTGAGGGGTGTCTGCTCAGCTGGCTTCATGACAATAGTATTTCCGCAAGCCAACGCAGGGCCAAGTTTCCATGCAGCCATGGCAAGGGGAAAGTTCCATGGGATGATCTGGCCCACTACACCAATGGGCTGGCGAAGGGTGTAGGCAAACTTGGCCGGCGTGGTGCTGATGGTTTGACCATGAACCTTGTCGGCCCAGCCAGCATAATACCGAAGGGTGTTGATGACCTCACTCAGGTCCTCGTTCAAGGAGACAGAATAGGGCTTGCCTAAACAGGGTCAGTCAAGGACAAACACAACGAGTCAACTGATAATTTTAAGGACACAAACCATTGTCCCAGGTTTCAATGGTGGCCAGTGTCTCCCTGTGCTGCTCAATGAGATCTGCCAGCTTGAGCATCAAAGCGCCCCGATCCGTTGGTGGAAGCAGCTTCCATGATGGATCCTTGAGGGCCTTGCGGGCGGCCTTGACGGCGATGTCAATATCTTCCTCGCCTCCAGCATATACAGATGCAATCTCGTTCTCATCTCTATGAGCTGGTTAGTTTCAGTTCCTTGGAATCACAGGACATGGTGTCCGGTACGGCCGGACTAGGTCACGTACGCTGGGTTGATTGTGGCAAACTTCTCGCCCGACTTGGACGGAACGAATTTGTTGTTGATGAACAGACCAATGGGCTGAGAGTACGTACGCCCATTGGGGGCCGTCAATTGTACTGTGACGTCGGACATGATGACTGGGGAGCTGTGAAAGCGTCGACGAGGCAGCGAGGAGAAAGGGAGCTTAAAGAGAGGACCACGCAGGCACAAGCGGGTGAAGAGTGGAGAAGAACAGAGGGGCATTAATACAGCAAGAAAGAGAGAAAGAAGAAAAAAAGAGAGGGGCAGAGAAGGGGGGGACCTTATATACGAAAAGGATACTAGTTCATGAGCGTCAGGGTTTCTCTTGCAGCATAGATGCAGGTTGTTAGTAAGTCGTGGTGGTGTTGATCGAGCTTCCCCGCCGGTGATAACGGAAGATCCAATGAGAGGGCAGGTGACTTGCCCACTCATCGGTGGATGTCGGATACACCTTCTCTTCCCAGGAAAGCCTTAGGTTCTAGAATACTTTGCTCTTTTCTGGATCCCCAATCAACATCCCGTTTTCCCAGCTGTTTGCCATGCGATTCATCATCATAAAAATGGAGCCTCTTGACCCGATCTGTTGAGATCAAAGCTCAAAAGCACCGCAACCTCTTCGTCCGCCGTCCGCGGCCACCGAGCCATGGATCCGCTCATCACACATCACCGTGCATATATATGATCCGACTTCCAATGGACCAAGGCATTCCCCGCCTTCCCCTCCTTATGGTCAGCTTTCTGGAGTAATGACCCGCCAGACTCGCTCTCCAATCATCTGCAGGTCATCCAGCTTCCCGCCGTCGGAGTTGCCGATCCCATTCTAGTACTACCTCGTAGTATCTTCCTGCCAACGCATACAATGTCCTGGTCTATAGATCGTCTACAGTCATGGTGGGAATGACACAGCTATGCTGAGAAGGAAGCCTGTACCAGGCAAGGCCGGAGAATCACAGTCTAGCAGTCGATAGCGTCTCGTCCCAAATCTTGACCCGTGAGCAGCAGGTGATCATTGAAAAGACCATTCACATTATTGGAACACCTCAAAATAGACAAGAACCCGTTCATTGTACACAAGGAAACAAAGACGCTCACAGCGAGCTTTATGACTCATTCCAGAGTCGCTTTGGAGGAACTGGAAAAGAAATATGGAATGACATCAAAGTGAAAAAAGAGATTTCGTATCTTCCTCTACTCGCTGGTTTCTTCTGCGCTCTCTGCCTCCGATGACTCCTCCTCCTTTTCCTTGGCTAACCCTAGTATGAAGTCCCATTCCTTCTTGGTAACGCGGGAAACACTGAGTCGGGATTGTTTTAGGACCTGAAGATCCTCGAGCGGATCTCCCGCCTTCGCGTGAGCTTTGAGGTCGTTCAACGAGACGAAGTTCTGGAACTTGCGTCGGAACTCGACGTGGACCGCATCCCATTTGGGGTCTTCTCGAGAAGATTTCTCGTCGTAGTATGGGTGTGCAGGGTCAAATGCAGACTCTGAAGTGAATTTGTGTTAGCCATCGCGTCAGCTACTGGGGAATTAACAGAATTGAGACGGACCGTCTGGTGTATGCTCTTGTACGATCTCCATATAGCCCGCAACTCCGGGCACTTTGCAGTTCGAGTGGTAAAAGAAAGCGTAGTCGCCCTTCTTCATCTCTCTCATGTGGTTCCTTGCTAGACATCGTAAGCTTGTGGTCTCGTATATCGCTAGCTTACTGATCACCCTTACCAGCAGGGTTCCGTACACCTAGCAGAAGGTTAGCATTGACTTGGCTACAGGATAGGGGTATATCACGCACCATCCCAGGGTTCCGGCTTGCTACGCGAGGCCAAGTCGTCAATGGAGAACTTAACATCCACGCCCTTTTCTAAGCGCGACTCGGGCTCTGCTTTCATCAACCAATATGAGCGGCTGGAATCATCATCATCCGCCTCATCTTCACCCTTGGCATCTGCAGAATCTGACTTCGGTTGCGTGGTTCTGTTTGTTGGGGTGTCTGCCCCATTCTGAGCGGGATATTTCCTAGGCCTTCCGACTGGCCGCTTGCCCTCCTTGGGAGTACTCGGTTTCGTGGGAGTATCTTAAGCCAGGTTAGCGGATCCTCTTCTCGAAGCATCTCGATTGCACCTGAGATGAGAGGATGGGCAGAAGAGAGATATGATAAGGCGTACCTTTGGCAGACGGGTCCTTGCGAGGACGGCCCCGGCCCCTTTTAGGACCCGGGGAAGGCTTGGGGCCACTTCCTTCAGGGTACTTGCGAGGACGACCTCTCTTCCTTTTCTCTCCTGTAGCTGGATCAGGGATAGCAGCCTGCGGAGACGATGACATTAGTTCCCGCTATTTGGAAATGCACGTAATGGGTCGCGTCCTTGTTCGGGATTCTTTTTCCCTTATCCCATCAAACGGAGAGTTGTCTTGTGTTACGAAGGGAAGGAGAAAATCCAACGCGGAAACCAGGAATGGGGCGTCAGTGAGCCGGGGTCGCGAATTGCCTTTTATGATGGGCCATCGCATGACGCGCCTCACGTCGGACCTGCCGATCACGGGAAAACAGGAAGGAGGAAAAGATAATCCGCGATACACGTCGGGCATACGCACTCGTTTTGGGGAATTGCTTTCTTCGGCCGCAGGTGCGCCTTCGGACTTGCGCTTCTTGACTGGCATTGTTGTCATGGGGAGAGAAGTCTGGGTGATAAAAGGGTGGGAGGTGAGGGGGTGTGAGGAGAAATCAGAAATAGAAAATCAAAACAAAAGGCAGATTCGATAAGAGAGAGAGAGACAAGGTAAGCCAACCAGTCAAAAGACAGGAGGCGGGGAGGAGATGAGGAGACGCGCCTAAGGGAACGACAGTCAATCCTATGCTAGTGTTAGTGTTGGTGTTGGTATCGGTCCGCTGTCGGTCGCGATCGAATAATTATCTCAGAGAATCAACCCTGGAGGGAAAGAAAAAATCGGGGGGGAATGAGGGTCCTTCTCACCTACGGAGAAACCTGAAAACCTAGGCAGGGACCACTGACATGAGTTGAAGCTTTGTTTTTGCGCCTGGGGGGACGGGGACAAGCTCGACTGGGCTGGACGCGAGCCGGCGCGCCAGTGGACCCGAGCCGATCATAGTCACGTGGTGTCAGCGTGAAGGATACTCCACAGTATCCATCGGTGTGCTATCCGATATCTGTGTAGTTTTCTACGTGATGGTTTTACCGGACCCAGGCAGAGAGGAAATTTCATTCCAATCCTAATGAACAAGATTACATATCTATTGAATAGTACCCAAGCAATGTCATATATATGATATATCTGAAACAGATGGATATATACCGACGGATAGATTATCTAAGCCTGGGAATATTGGATCAAACGCTATGGCATCACCTCGGACGGATAGTCCGTTGAACTAAAATTTCCGGATGCAACCGTCGGGGAGGAAGAGCTCATCTCCGACTGGCGGGACTGGAACATTTCTCGCGTGCAGCTCTGAGCTGTCAGTGTCGAGCTATCCTTTGTATTTGACCGATCGTGTTTGAACAGCGCATGTATGTACCAGAATTGATTTTCATAGAACGAGAAGCAAAAACAAGAAAAGATTGAAAATCTACATATACGATACTATGTATACTCCGGAGGAGACTCGGATGAACTAGCAACAACTTTACGGGTCAGATCATCGGCGATTGCGCCGGGATACTTCCAGAGTAGATCCCCCGTTCTCCACCTCCGCTTGCATTAACTTTCCCTTCGCAACACTTACTAACCATAGAGTCACTTGCGCTCGTGGGTCACTAATCGACGCCTTATGAATGATCATGATTTTGGCTTGTTCTTGCTCCTTTGTAACTGGGAGGATATTTATTGTCTTACACTTCCCCACATGCGCCGGATAGATCTAGGCTGAAGACCCAGCCGCCAGTACTAAGGTCTAGAGAAGCCAAGATGCATACCGTACCCAATCAGCAGTCAGATCCGACCTCAGATGGCGTTCAAGCACTGGAATACAATAGGGAACATGGTGATCAAGAGGGGCAGCAGCATAAAGACCAAAGAAGCCACACACTAGATTCGGATCAAGATGTTGAATATCTCTATCTCAACTTTGACACAACCTTGCCACACCCCATGGGCATCTCTTCCCCGCAGCCGGGTCAAGCGTCTCCACCACCATGCCCCAATCTCACAAAGTACGCTTCACCCTTCTTATGGGCCGAATCCCGCAAGACCGTCGTCACGATTATCTCTTGCTGCGTAACAGCTATGTCGGCTTACGCTGCGGGATCGTATACCCCACCATCTGATGAGTTGACGGCCAAGTGGAATGTGAGCAGGGTTGTATACAACCTGGGAATTTCTCTATATACCCTAGGCTTCGCTATCGCTCCGATGGTGCTGGCACCCTTCTCGGAAATTAATGGCAGGCGACCTATCTTTGTGTCTAGCGGCCTTGTTTTTACCGGTCAGCTCCCTTACCTCCGCAGCTTGGCCTATGGAGGAACCAAAACTAATACCTTTGGCTGGTAGTGTGTTTGATCGGATGCGGTGCCACGGAATCTTTTGCTGGCATGCTTGTGGCAAGGTTTTTTCTTGGTGTTGGCGGATGTAAGCTACCCTGCCTTGTACCCCTCCTGCTGTACTACAGTTCAGATTGACGCTGGTTATCCCCTATAGCTACCTTTTCGACCATGGTAGGCGGCGTCATTAGTGATATATATCATGCTGAACACCGCAATGTCCCCATGTCGTGCTTCTCAGGCGCAGTTCTCTTTGGGACGGGCTTGGGGCCACTCATTCCTGGTTTCATAGATTACCATGCCAATTGGCGCTGGATCCACTACTCCCAAGCCATTGCTTCTGCAGTCTTAATGATTGTCCTCTTTGTCTTTCTCAACGAAACTCGGGGGAGCGTGCTTTTAAGCCGAAAAGCTAAAGCCCTCAATAAGTACTACGACGCACTGGAAAGTGCAGGCTATGTTGGCGTTGTGTTTTGCTCAGACAACGACATCAAGGGAAAACAACAACCCAGACGCATACGGTGGAAGGTAAAAAGCGATGAAGAGCGGGAGAGTATAACTAAGATGATCACCATATCCTGCGTTAGGCCGTTCCGTAAGTGGGAGACGTTCCTCCTGGTAATATCACCATGAAGCATAGCTGACCAACCCATTAAGACCTCCTGTTCACAGAACCCGTGGTTTTCTTCTTTTCACTTTGGGTCTCGTTTAGCTGGGCGGTCCTGTATCTCCAGTTCATTGCGATTCCAATCGTCTTTTCGACCAACTACCATTTCAATGTGGAACAGACCGGGGCAGTCTTTGCAGCGGTATCTATCGGTGCACTGCTGGCTACCCCGTTGAGCATCTACCAGGAGAAGTTTGCGATGCGGGTTGGCAAGATGTCGAGCACCCCAGAAGGACGTTTGTATTTCACATGCGTTGAGTCCATTATGCTGCCTATTGGTCTATTCTGGTTTGGATGGACATCGTTTTCCTCGGTCCCGTGGATCGTGCCGACAATTGCTGTGGGATGTTCCACAATAGGCATTTTCTCCATCTACTTGGCCGCCTTCAACTACCTTGCTGATACTTATCATCGATACGCCAGTTCAGCGATTGCTGCGCAGTCATTCTGTTCGTCTCGCTTGTACCCCCGATAGGAACTCGGTGATGCTGACGGGCCTTCAGGTCGAAATGTTATGGGTGCCATATTCCCGCTGGTTACCAATGCGATGTTCAACAACCTGGGCTATCCAGCGGCCTCCAGCCTTCTTGGGGGGATTGTAAGCAAGACATTTCTCTATCCCGTGACTCAGACTAACACCAACAGGGCGTTCTTCTGACAATCGTGCCCTGGGTCCTCGTATTCTATGGACCTCAAATCCGTGCCAGAAGTAAATTTGCAAGTGTATGAGGCCAGACTGTCCATCTTCATCGGCGTATCGCTAAACAATCTCTAGGAAATCATGAATCAACATTAGGGTCCTCGGAAACCTGGCTAGGTTCGCTGACACGACATGCCATTGAGATCAAGATCTCAAAAAATGTTGGCTTCGCTCGACAGCATTAATCGTTTTCCAATCCATGATGAACAAACGCCATGAAGACAACTACCGTTGTATATAAGACCATTCTGATAAGGACATAGCCCTAGTAGTACAGAGCAGGGTGGGTCCTCGATCAATCTAGGTTTAATTACCGAGCCTTCAAAGTGCCGGTCAGGGGTGCCTCAGGATTCACAAATAGTACTACATAGTACATCATAAAGAAGGAGCGTCCACTTCATCTCGGCTTCCTATTTACGAGTACTGGTGCACCATCTTGGCTTATCACTTGCGCAGTTATCGGGCATATGACGGGAGGTGATGTGCAAAATGGCGCCATCTTCAACCGTGTCCATTGGCCCTTGTGATTGGCATTGTCGGCCGAACTATTCTTTTCTTGTCAGCAGTCGGCCGATAAACCCAAGTAGATGGACGTAGCCAAGGAGGGGTATTCAAAGCTTTTGGAAAGAAGGGGGACTTGAAAGATACCGATTGATCATTTGGCACAGCGTATTGGATTTGAGGCATCAAATGTCTGGAAGGTACTCCGTACAGTGTAGTAGAGGTATGGAAGTCCGGGGACGGTCCCAACTCCCACCCTTTTATCACATTTTGATTGAGCCACTGAAATGTTCCGTCGACGGGAGGGTTTCTCTGCCAGTCCAGACAGATCATTGGTTCCAATATACTAACTTTTATCACTAGTACTATATAGTCACAGAATCCGATATCTTCATGAACCGCGGCCTCAAGGTTGTTGACTGCATCGTGGGGCACTTCCGAAAAGGGATGCGCTAAACAGCCCACCAGAGAATGAGCTCATGGCTGGCCAATGGGGATCGTTCTGCCCCGCGGGCGGTGGTCAATTGCGTGATTTGGAGGAGGAACAGCGACGAGACGGTCATTCGCCGAACAACCTCTGGAGGGGAAGATCTGGAGGGGTCGAGAAGCTGAAGGGCTGGAGGGTACCTTAGGCTGTCAGTAGTATCTAGTACTAATTAGTAGTACCGCAGGACAGAGTACAGAGGAACGCGAGTCTGGGTCCCCGGAAAAGGTACATCCATTCATCCAGTACTTCCCCCGCCGCCAAAACTATTTCAAGGTCCTCCTTCCCCCCTCCATTCTCCATCTACTTTCGCATCTCTGCATCATCCTCACCATCTAACCCCTCTTTCATCCTTACTTGGATACCTCCTTTACTCGTCACAATGGCTCAGGAACGTGCTGCTCCGTAAGTTCCCTTACTATTATCATTCATTCTCGATCCTCCTGGATGACTTCAGGAGTCAGGACCGTCAACATGGAACTCAGTCGGAGACTGACATGGCAATGGACTCTAGCATTCGTCTCGGCTCTACTGCCCCTAACTTCCAGGCTGACTCCTCCAACGGCCCCATCTCCTTCCACGACTACATTGGCAACAGCTGGGCTATCCTCTTCTCTCACCCGGATGACTTCACCCCCATCTGCACCACCGAGCTGGGCGCTTTCGCCAAGCTCGAGCCCGAATTCACTGCCCGTGGAGTCAAGCTGATCGGTCTGAGCGCCAACGGCACCGAGTCTCACAAGCTCTGGATCAAGGACATCGATGAGGTCACCGGCTCCAAGCTCTCCTTCCCCATCATTGCCGACCCCGAGCGCAAGGTCGCCTATGCCTATGACATGGTTGACTACCAGGACACCACCAACGTTGACTCCAAGGGTATGTTGTAGTGTTCACCACTTGGATGGCACTTGGAGTTGCTAAACAGGCATTGCAGGTCTCGCTCTGACCATCCGCTCCGTCTTCATCATCGACCCCAACAAGAAGATCCGTCTGATCATGTCTTACCCTGCCTCTACCGGCCGTAACACCGCCGAGGTTCTCCGTGTTGTCGATGCTCTTCAGACCACTGACAAGCACGGTGTCACCACCCCCATCAACTGGCTCCCCGGTGATGATGTTGTCATCCCCCCTCCTGTCTCCACTGAGGATGCTGAGAAGAAGTTCGGTGAAATCCGCCAGGTCAAGCCGTGAGTATTTCCTTTCCAACTGAGCGGGGGATTGGTACTAATCTTGTTGACTAGTTACCTGCGTTTCACCAACCTCAACAAGAAGGAGTAAATTATGACGCAGTCTTCCATTCAACCGTTTCCCGCTAGCTGTTCCCAGGAGGAATAACCAGTTCTGACGTGGTTATGGTTGGGAGCTTTCTCATGAAAAAGAGTATGACAGTCACGGCTTAGCATCTCTAATAATATGATACCTCTTACGACAGCATTTGAACATTTTGCTACGAGCCCAGCGTAGAAACTCCCTAAGGAGCGAGTGCAATAATAGACCACCCGTAAGAGCCTAGGGTTTGTGTACCCCTTGCAGGAAGTGTGGGCAGGGTGACCAATGTTCCTGCGTAGGGGACATGGACGCTCCACTGTCCTTACGCCAGATATATTGATCTATAGACAAAATAGGTGGTGTTAAGTTTGCGCCCCACGGGGCGAGAATGAGGGAAGAACCATTCTGCAATCGATGTCATCCTGCATAAGACTGCATGAGGAACCCATCAATCAAAAGACGAGATAGGACTATACAAAGCGAACCGCTGAGTAAATATAGTAACACTGCCTGGAAACAGTCACACCTGTCTACCTCGAGTCGGTGAGGTAAATGACCACTCGTATATATCCCATCCATTCATCCATCCCTACTCCTACACACATGCGATACTTTACGATTGCCTTTGCCCGGGCTGAGTGCTGTGGCCGTTGATTGGGCGCGGTTCAAGTCTTGCGGGAATGTGGACGGGCGACGTGCTCTTCTTTGTTCAACCTCTCTGTCGTTCACCTTCTGTATGACTGAACGATGAGGTAGAGCGAAGATATCCGTCTGATCTCTTGTCAGATCTGAGCGCGTCTGGTCTACCAGATATCCTCCGGGCGCCGAGCCTCTTCGCGATTATAAGCGACCTGGAGAGGAGAAGCAGGAAGACAGGCTATTCTTATTCTCACATCATCATCAGTGCAACAAAATCAGGTCGCATGTGAAGAGACGACGGTTTCAAAGACCCTGTCAACACATCCCCTGTTTTGGGGCGAAAGTAAAAACCAGCATCAAGTCCAAAAAGCCATGTATGGGAATGATAGCTAGTGGGGTCGGGATACGGCTGAATGAGTGAGTGAGTCTGTGTTGGCACCAAGACTGCCCATATCGGTCCTCCGTCGCTAAGTGTTTCCAATTGTTCTTCATGCTTCTAGTGTCGCCTGTCAAAACGATTGACTTTTAACGTTGGGAGCGATAAATCTAAATCGCTGAGTCAAGCTCCACTTTCGCAGTGTGCCTGGAGCCACTTTTTTCTCGGAGACCGCCTTGAAACCCGCACTTTCTCCGTTCACCTTGTCTCTCTGCACCGTTCGAAAACAACACCTTCTCTGCATATACGGCGGATTCACTGGGAGGACCCCTCTTGCAGCCAACCCGAAAAGCGTCCACAAGCCGAGGCTTGATTTGGATCCTTCGCGACGGAGCGTCTGGGTTGGTAGCCGCGGGGAAAACGAATCCACCGGTGGTCCCATCACACCTCCCGCCCGGCCCCTGATCTGAGCAAAACGATCGCGACGATTACGATTTACACCTTCGATCTACCCTTCGCCTGCCTTGGGCCCAGACGGTCATTTGAGCGACAGTTCTTTACTTCCTACTTTGTTTGCGGTTTACGAGTGTTATGATACCCTGTCCGTTTTGACACCTGACCTTGTTCTGACAAGTTCGAATATTGGATGACAAACATTCTACTTACGACGTCGAGTCGACATTTCGTAGGCCGTCAAATTTGAGCGAAATCAATCTACAACACGATAGGCATTGGGATACATCTACCGTACCAGTGAAAATCGACCACTATCACGATGATGTCTCGGAGTCAGTCGAGTCTGGGATACCTGGACTCGAATCGGGAGGATCTTGCAGGTTCCGGTGTCTCTCCTGGACAACAACAGCCGTCTTCAGCATCGGGTCCCATAAATTTGTCAGGTCTGGTGTGCAATGTTCGTCGGACAACCGGAAGAGAACCGCATCCGTTGGTAGGTGCGACTACAACTATATTAGGCGATAAGCTTTACGTGTTTGGCGGCCGTGTTCTCTCAAAGAGCCGCCCGCAATTGACGTCCGACATATATGAGTTGGACCTGATTCGGCGTCACTGGACAAAGATCGATGCCACTGGTGATATCCCCCGTCCGCGATATTTTCACAGTGTCTGTGCTCTTGGAGACAACAAGCTGGTGTGTTATGGTGGTATGTCACCCAAGGATATCACACCCAATGGCTCTACGGGACAAGAGACGCAGCCAGAGGTGGTGGTGATGTCTGATATACATATATTCGATGTGCCTTCGCGAACATGGACTCGAGTTCCTGCTACCGACACGCCCGAGGGACGATATGCCCATTGTGCGACAATTTTGCCTTCCAGTGCTCACTTTACGTCGGCCACTGCGCCTCTTTCGGCTATCCATCACAACCCCGCATCGTCAAATCCTCACCAGGGCTCAATCGGTGTAGACATCGATGGTTCTGGTGGCGCAGAAATGGTGGTGGTGGGAGGGCAGGACAGCTTGAATCATTATATTGAGCAGATCAGCGTGTTCAACCTTCGCAGTCTGAAGTGGACCAACACAAGTCCCCTAGGAAGATGTTGCGGCGCTTATCGTAGTGTGGTTGCCCCATTGGCCGGTATAAACGTCTCGGACATCGGGTCCGCTTCAATCGATAAAGAAGCACATGAGCCCGTGGAGGAGTCGCAAGTAGAGGGATGCCCGATGCTGATCTATTCAAACTACAACTTCCTAGATGTTAAACTAGAGCTTCAGCTGCGTTTACCAGACGGTCGCTTGGTTGAGAAGCCGATGCAGAGCCAAGCATCGCCCCCCGGCTTGAGGTTCCCCAGTGGCGGCGTTATCAACGGACACTTTGTGGTCAGTGGCACGTATCTGACCTCCTCCAAGCAGGAATACGCCCTGTGGGCACTGGACCTGAAGACGCTCACCTGGGGCCGTATCGATGCCGGTGGGACAGTCTTCGGTCAGGGAAGCTGGAATCGCGGAATCCTGTGGGCGAGAAGGAACACCTTTGTGATTCTCGGCCATCGGAAGCGTAGTCTAGTTGAGGATTACAACCACCGACGACTCAATTTCTCGCATGTGTGCATGGTCGAGTTGGAAGCATTCGGGCTCTACAATAACCCGTGCAGAACCGCTCCAACGTCCGGATACATCTCTCATAGCTCCCCTGCAGTCCCTGCATCTCTCCACCCTAAGCTGGCTAAATTAACATCGGGTGGAAGACCATTCTCATCCGCCTCTGACGAGCTGGGAAGACTCGCCCAATCTCTCCCCGAGATGACGGATATGGAGCTTCAAGCGGTGGGAGGCGAGCGCATTCCGGTCAACTCACGCATCTTGACTAGAAGATGGGGCCCATACTTTATCCAACTTCTACGGGAATCTTCTGACAATGGGGTCTCTGACTCTGCCACACTGCGCCCAGCGCTCCAGATGTATCCAAACCGTAACTCCAGCATCACAATTACCCCGTCAATCGGCCCGAACAGCACCTACTCCAACGCCACCACTCTCGTCAGCAATCATTCAAACCCCTCCAAGTCACTGTTAGCGAATCTTGAGATACCCTCTGCCCATAGTTTACCTCCCACCTCTAGACCCCGTGTGCTGTACCTGCCCCATACCTACCTCACCCTCCAGGTTCTCGTCTACTACTTCTACACGTCTTCCCTCCCACCCGCGGGTTCCGCCCTCTGCACGCCCCAAATTCTCTGCTCCCTTCTCCAGCTTGCGCGACCGTACCAAGTGGACGGTCTCCTGGAAGCCACCGTCGAACGACTACACCAAGCCCTTGACGGACGCAACGCTGCCGCCGTTTTCAATGCCGCCGCCATGGCCGCAGGTGGCGGCAGAGGCACCGGATTCACCAGCGGACCAGGAGGCACGCTGGAAGCCCTGAACGGCGTGCACGGCAGCACCGACTCGGCCGCCGGCACAGGAACAGATACATCAAACAGTCACCTCACGTCAGACTCCTCAGACACGGAGCACGGCACATCCGGCGTCTCCGTCGCAAGCAGCACCAGCGCCGCCGCCGCCAGCGGCTCCAGAGGCATCCCCCTCCGCATCAACACCAACATCTTCAGCCGTCGCCAGCGCCACACGACCAACCTCGAACGCGACCGCGATGACTCCATCAGCAACGCCAGCACGGCCACCTCCGCCTCCACAAACACCAGCTTCGACCACTCCGACACTGACGACGCCGCCCACTCCCATCGCCGTCGCAACACAGACGCCGAGCTCCGCCCCAACCGCGAGATCTGGACCGGCGACCTCAGCAGCGTCATCGGCCTACAGAAGCGCGGCCTCCGCGGCCTCATGGAAGGTCGTCGACTGCGCGAACGCAGCGCCAAACCTGCGAGCACAAGCGGTCCCGTATCTATTCCTCCAGAAAACCCTCCCTCGGCAGGAACCGCTTAATTCACATCGATACCAGGACACTATCTTCTGCGATGATTTTATTTTACCTCCCCCCCTCTCTCCCTTTTTGCCTCCTTCCGGTTTTCCCCCCGCTCCTATAGCGATGTTTCGGCTTCTGGCTTCATTTACCCCCTTACCTTGCCTGTCATGATCTCGATGAAAATTTAGAGGTTCTTGATTGAAATATATAGAATTTTCGTTGTTTCTTTTTACAGCACGTGAACGCTGGGATGTGTGATTCTGCGCATCGACAGGGTTTTGTTTATAGTACACCTCCCATCGGTTAGGATTATTGAATAAGCTCAATACCAGTTGTTCAGGTAATGGAACAGCATTTGTCCAATCAGTAGCGATACGTGGGTAATCTATGGGTAGAACTTGATTCGTCCAAGAATTTGCAGATCTGGTTAGCTGATGTGTTCATCAAAGCTTTCCCCCCATGGATGTACAGAGCTGATGATGCTGGCAGCGAAAATGATCACTTATAAAACTCTAGGATACTGCGTGACGCTGCGTGACACTGCTACCGGTCTCCAGATCTTCTCATATCTTCAGGCTTGTCTAGGACTGCTCCGCGCCTTTTCGAACTATTTGAAAACGATGCGACGCATACAGAAAATAATCAATCATTACATTCCCAACATTATGCAAATCGTAGAGCAGTGCTTATGTTATTGCCGTTGTCGTAACATGTTTCGAGGGCTGGAGAGTACCCACGCCTCCCAGAGCAACCCCTGCTCGCGTCTCACACTCACTCCATTGTCCCCCAGGTCATCCACCGTGAGTGCTCTCAACCGCTCCAGAGTTGTCTCGGAAAATGAACGTCGGGTGCTTCCGCAGGGAGAGAAAGGCGGGTAATCCGCAGTGAAACTGGTACGGTAAGGAGGTAGGGCGAGTGTAGGTTCGGGGACGACGGAGAGGACCGACGTGCTGGAAGTACTGGCATGGCCATTGGTATCTGGTGAGTCCGAGTCCAGATGGTCTGCGTAATCGATGTCTCGTAGATAAATACATTCTACTTGATCCATTTCGTCGTGCAGGACGGACAGGATATCCCGCCACCGGCCCCCATTGCGAAGGTAGACGTCAGCTAGTGCGATATCGCGTAGTTGTCTCCTGTGTCGGCGGATCAGGGAGATAACCTCTTCCGAATCTAGGCGCCAGCCCTGAATGCTGAGAGTCCGGAGCCTTTTCCACTGTAGGCGGTGGAAAATGAGTTCTAGCGAGAGATCGAGAGGTACATTGGCTCGAAAACCTAACTTTATTGACGTCAGGTTCTTTGCGGATAGAAAGAAGTCATGGAAGACGCTAGAGACAGATTTGATGCTGCTCGTCATGTCTTTGGAGGAATGAAATGTGACATCTAAGCTCGTTAATCGAGCGCCTAAGGTAGATAGCGTTAGTGAAGGTGTCTGCGCTAACTTCGCTGCGGACTCTGGGCTAATCTGAGGCCCGACGAAACGAATAGCACTGCAGTTTGATTCTAACAGAGAAGTCGCTAGGCTTGTGACAGCCCGCGTGCAAGCTGGCTCCCAGTCCAAATAAACGGTCTCTGCTGAAGATTGCTCACGTATATAATCTAGCAATTGCTCGTCCGCCCCGTCCTGTAACCGAAGCAGTTTAATTTGCTGCAGAGACGAGAACGCAGATATAGCGCGGCGCAAGAGTAGCATATCATGGCCCCCAGTGATGATGTATTCCTGGTCTTCACGCCGGCTCTTATGTACTTGTGAAATTGCCAGGTTCTGCGATTCTACCGCTTTCAAGACAGGGGACCAGTCTAGATACTTGTCAGCTTGGCTTCCGTGCAAGTGTTAACGAATTAGTAGAGACGGTACCGCTTCCTTGGTAAAAGGGTCGCACCATGTACGTGAAGGATCTGACATGGCAGGCCAGCTGCATGTCCAGAAGGTCCTCTAACCTCCGAAACCCATCTCGTGAAAAGCGAAGAACGAAACGGGGGAATTTCCATGGAGTGGCGATGCGCCTGAACCTTGTACACACCAGTCTGAATCGGTCCAAGTCAGACGTTTCGCCATGCGCACTGATGGAGCTGCCATTGGGCATGTCGGAAACGTGGCTGTTCGTCGGGGAGGTATCGTTAGAGGAAGGTTCTGATCCCAAGATAAATGAGAGGATGTGACTGATCAATTCGTCCGCAAGGTCGTCAATGCGCCGTGGTCTGTCCATGGCTTTTTTCTCAGCAGGGCAGCCGCGACTCCGGCTGCTTTGGTTACCTGCAACAACATGGAAGCCCGGCCTGGTCAAAGGGAATCGAGGAGGAAGGCGCACCTCATGGAAGGGTGCATGAACGAAAGTCGATTGATGGCGAACACTCTACGTAGTAAGAGAAGGAACGGGAAGTAGATTAGGCAAAAAAGAAGGAGTGAAAGGTAGCAGGGGCCTTAAAGGGGGAAAAGAAAAACCTACGTAGAGAGAGCAGGAAGGGGAAAAGAAGAAAGAAAAGAAAAGAAAAAGAAAGACCAGAGTAAAATGATACATCCCCTCTCCAGTCCCTAGAGAGACAACTCTCTATCAACTGCAGAGTAGGCGGGCCACCGAGACCGCGCTTGGAGCACGGAGGCATGTCTGACAAGATTTAGAGCGTCCCACATGGACCATACCTAACCCGGGCGACTGGGATCATCGTCAATATCGAACCCAAGGCATTTCCCCCGGGCCAACACCGATGCGATATTGGACACGAACTGACACACACCAGGGTCACATGATCGAAAGGGCATGCGGTTACCCAGCGTGAACCTGCAGGAAAGGGTACAAAGAAAGAGAAGGATTGGTGAATAGAGTGATCGTGGGCTAGGCCCAGGATGATGGAGGGGGGAAGATGATGCGACATGAGAGTCAGATACCTGCAGACGAACCCCGCCTGGGAAGCGAATCGTGGCGCGGTGTAGCTGCAAGCCTAGATGACTGGCGCGAAGCCCATGGCCACACTACCCACGGAGCCTGCAGCACAACTCGAACGTCATGGAGCAAGTTGGCAGCCAACATGCAGAAAATCGACCGAAGTCACAACAATGGATTGCATGGCATGGCCTCACAGGCCACAATTACCGCGTGGGTGGGCGAATCTGCTGTGAGAGGGAAAGGATCAACATGCACTTAACATGCATCGTCGTCCAGTAGTCGCCGGCCCGGCTGCACAACCCCAAACATTGGGGGAAGATAAGATCTCCGGGGGGAGCCTTTCTTTTCCAATAGCTTCAGAAACGACCAGCAGAACAACTCATCATCATAGAAAATAATAATAATAATAATTAAACAAGAAATTCAAGACAAGGGGGGGAAAGGGGTGGGGAAAGTGAGGTATGCGAACAAACCCTCGGAGTTATTAGCACCACACACGCTATACATAACATGGATGGTTTAAAAAAAAAAAAAAGGCGCTGGAAATGGTTTTACAGGAATCCGGATAGCCTCATTGGCGCCCTCGTCATTTGTCCGTCCCACGAGAAATGCGACAAGAGGATCAATCACCCCCAGGGAAGCGCAATTCGTTGGTTGACGTGGACTGGGGAACTCATGAAGTATGTATGTATGTATGTACAAATAATGTTGATGGGGCCCAATCCGCAAGTGTGCTTGCTTAGCAAGTGTGACCATGAAAAATGTCCGTGACGAATAACTGATGGCTGCATAGGTTGAGCTATGAAAAAGCAATTTCCCGTCTCCAGCCAATCGTTTAACGTGATTCCCTCTTGGCTTGTTCCATCCGCTGCCGTCTGATATCCGTGCTGCTGATTTTGGACGCAAAATCTTCGAAATCACTCGACGGCACGTCTTTGGAATGAAGCACGTCAATCTCAAACACATCGAGCCTCTTCCAACCCTTCTCTGCACGTTTGTCGTTGACCGCGGCACCTCCCGAGCGAGTCTCTTGGGAGACCACGATAGCGCTAATGTCCTCCTCCGTGATGGTAGGCCCAAAAGGATCGGAAATCTGCACAAGTTTCAGTGTCAATCCGGACCGTACTTTCATCAGATTGTATTTTCCATTGGGTCCTGGCTGCGTGACCCGCTCGGTATGTGTGGCGTTTTTGTCGGGAGGGTAAAAGTCCATGATGGCCATCAGAAAGGATGCAGCTCCTTCACATCGCTCATCCCAGCTTTCCAGGCAGTCGGCGTACTTCTTGTTCACGAGTAGCTCATCGCCAGTCACGCCAATTGTCAGAAGCGCCTCTTTCCCCGGGTTGGCATCCCGAACGGGATCCAAGACCAACGCTAGGGCAGTGAGCAGTAGCTTGTGTCCAATATGAAAGTGATCGAAGGTGCCGCCTACAATAACCGAATGATGTGTCTTGCTTCCTCGTGAGTCGTCCGGCGCCACAATCGATTCCGAAGATGTCCAGTTGGAGGCGCCGGAAATGGAATGCAGATCCCCAGCATTGGGGTCCTTAAACTGGGAATAGATACTACTGAAGGCCGTTGCTAGATTCTGACCTACTTGATTATCCGGATAATAGATTCGGTCCCATGGACGAGCTGATGTCGCAAGGGTTTGCAAGTCTAGGATGGGTCCCATCTGCGAAGCCTGAGAGGAGTCCTTCCTGGAAGGATGTACGGTATCCAAATCAAGCAGAATGACTCGCGCATTGATACCACCAGGGGCATCCAGCTCAATACTGTTCTCAACGGAGACTATTCCAATGAGCCTATAGAGATTTGCTAACAAGCATTGGAGACTTTTGAACAACTTAGCCCGAGGCTGACGGGTATGTGATTGGAGTCCTGGAAGAAAGAGAGCAATATCCAAGATGGCAGCGTGGTTGGTACCATTGAGTTCAGCAAGCTTGGTGAAAACTGTAGATAGAAGCGACTCATACACATTTCTGCACTGCTCGAACGACGCCGCTGGTGGGGGTGGAAGCAGTAGCAATGCCGAGGCCGAGCTGATGCGATCTAGAGCCATACTGAATGCGGGGAGCTGTTTGGTATGACGAAGAAACACTGGGACGGGACAAGGAGGGCTATGCGGAAAATCAAAGTAGCAGTGTGAAGTTCAAAGTAGGGTACCGGGAGTGAGAATCTCCTGTTCCAGGCGATCTGGAGTGTAGGTAGTTGTTTTCTCGTCCTCCAGAGTCTGGGGGAGACGGAAATAACTAGTAGTCGGATTGATTGGCACTAAAGATCAAATCAATTAAATAAATGTATTGGGAAATCACACCCCCGCGGCCGGCTGACTCAGCGGTCCTGAGACATTCCAAGTCAATCAATCAATCGTGGATGAACGTTATCCCTTCTTATGCCCGTCGCCCGCTTCTTCCTTGCCTCTGTCCCTCTTCCAAAGCTCTAGGATGTTCTGCTGAGCTACCTCCAAGGCCATTTGTACCGAGTGATTCAGACAAGACCACGTATGCCCTTGGTGTAGCCAGAGCTCCTAGCTTACGCATCCCTCTCTCCCCGCCTCCAAGCCCCGTCGGATAACAACCGAAACACCTTCAACTGCAACCCCGGACGGTGGAAAACGATCGGAGGAATTGTGTTCGCAATTTCACTGTCAGGGACTGGCAGTCTATCGCTAGAAGGAGAAAATCCATTGCCGTTCCACATCGTGGCCTCGGTACCATGTCGAACCCATCGCAACCCTTCGAGCCCAATCGACGAGCGACAACTTATGGCCGGCCAGAGGAGCTGCACATTCCGTCTGGGGGTATGGGAGCTGCCAGCTTACAACGACAGTCCATGTCCCATGAATTCCCTACAGCCGCCGATAACCACGTTCCGTCCATCAATGTCCACCCCACGAGCTCCCAGCCCAGCCAATATGGGGCCGGCGGCAATAACACGGCTCTCCCAGGCGCGCTTCAGCCAGGAAACGCCAACCGCCCCCCAGCAGTGTCCATAAATACCGCCCCATCTGGCATTCCTACCCTTTCCCAATTGTCTACACAGTTGCAGCAGCAACCACCGCAGCCACAGCCGCAACTCCAGCAACCACCGGCACAGCAGCCACAGCCGCCGCCGCAGCAACCTCCGACAACGCCCCGCTCCAACATGAGCAACGCTCATGGACACTCGAGATCCAGCCCGGCAAATGCTAGATACGGGTCATCGCCGGGTGCTGGGTTCCCACCTCATACTCCGCAAGGCGCGAAATACTCTCCTTTGGGACTGGCCGATATCCGGCCGACAGGCGATCTTCTTGGGGATCCTATCACCAGCCCCGGGTCACTGCCCTTCAATGGAGATACTCAAGTGCCGTCAAATAGCAACTATATTGCACCCTGGCCGATATATGCGGTGGATTGGTGTAAATGGCCCATTCCCGGAAACTCGGGCTCCTTTGGAGGCAAGATTGCGCTTGGAAGTTATTTAGAAGATAACCACAACTATGTGCGCCTCTCTTTCCCTTGTTTTCTCCTCCTACAGATGAAATTAACTTAGTTCAGATACAAATCATTGATACCCACTGGACTAAACCAGACCCAGATACACCGGATGCAGCAACTGGCGAGATTAAGCTGGAATATGTCAAAACGGCAGAGGCCACACATTCGTACCCTGTAACGCGGATACTCTGGGAACCGCCATCATCTCAAAAGCAGTCTACCGACCTCTTGGCGACCTCGGGTGACCATCTGCGGTTATGGTCTCTGCCTGCGAACCAGCCGGTGCAGACCTCTAATTCGATTACGCGATCGGCGACCCAAAGGGATACGCCTTCCGCTAAACTTTCTCCGTTGGCGTTACTCTCAAACTCAAAATCTCCCGAGCATACTGCCCCCATTACCTCGCTCGACTGGAACACGATATCTCCAAGCTTGATTATCACGTCCAGCATCGACACGACTTGCACCATCTGGGATATCCCTACACTCACCGCCAAGACGCAGCTGATTGCACACGACAAAGAAGTGTATGATGTTCGATTCTGCGCAAATAGCGTCGATGTTTTTGTCAGTTGCGGTGCCGATGGCAGTGTGCGCATGTTTGATCTCCGCAGTCTAGAACACAGCACTATCATCTACGAACCGACGGAAAAGAGTGATAAATGTAGGTTTTATTCACAGTACCCTGTCCCTTTTCAAAAGCTAACAGGGATTCCGTCCACAGTAGTCAGTCCCGGGAATGGCAGCCCCTCGGCCCCTGCGTCCATCTGGCCTCCACCGCTTCTCCGAATCGCAGGTATGTGAGAGACAGCCAACCTACCTGTCATAAAGCAACATCATCTGATACTAACGAAATCAGCATCACCTCATGACGCTCACCTTTTAGCTACGTTTTCTCAGGACTCCAACATTGTCCGGGTCCTAGACGTTCGCCAACCCGGCCAGGCCCTGTTAGAACTCAAGGGCCATGGCTCCTCCATCAACTGCGTGGAGTGGTCCCCGAACCGCCGTGGCGTGCTTGCCTCCGGTGCAGACGACTGCTGCGTTCTTCTATGGGACCTTATCAACCAGCACAACGCCGCGTCTGTCCCGCCTCCAGTGCACACCCCCGGTGCGCCCTCGACTACCCAGGAGCGTGGTCCTGCTGCCGCGTGGCAGTGTGATTACGAGGTCTCCAACATCAGCTGGTCACCGCAAGGCGGGACGACCGGCGCAGGGCATCCGCGGGATTGGTTAGGAGTGTGCGGTGGACGGGGAGTTTGGGGTGTTGCACTATGAAAGAATTGACGCATCTACTAGACGCTATTTCCCATGCCTACCAGTCAGCCATTTATCCTGTTGCATTGTTCCGTGAATTATCCCGCCACGGCTGGCTTGCATCGTTCGACCATGGAAGCGACATGGTACGGTCTGATATATGAGTGAATGAATGAATGAACGATTGGACAGTAAGAGTATGCATGGATGTGTAATGTTTTTTTCTTTGAAGTTTCTGCTAGGATAGGATAGCAGCCCCCCCAAGGACAGGTAAACAAAGGGGTATATGTAACTACTGTGATCTAGTCTATTCCGGACAGATGGCATGATATATAACAGGGAATAAAGAATCAAAGACAGAACAAGTCATCAGAGACAATATATAAACATCATGATGCGCTCGCTAAAACAAATATCGAATAAAGCTCATTTCCGCGACAATCACACAGAACCTGGAGAAGCAATCACTCGCGACGGGAGTTTGCACTACCATTCTCCTGTCCTGTCGTCTTGACAATGACCTTATCCTCCACCCACCGGGCGAACTTGACGCTCGGAATATCCACCGCGCGCCAGTAGATATCACCAGCCCACAGACAGAGAGGGAGACAGATGAGCCAACCGATCAGGAAGCCCAGGCAGTACTGGAAGTTGGAGTCCTTGCCAATCACCGCCCAGATATTGGGCATAAGGGAGTACCCGAGCGAGTGCAGGATAGGCCCATGCACGATGTAGAAGGCGAAGGAGATCTTGCCGAGGTACTGGGAGACGGGGTTTGTGAAGAGTTTCTGGATGTCTTTCGAATGGTTGATGCTGAAGACGATGAGAACTGCCCCGATGGTTTGTGGGAACCGGTGCGGTTCGGGATAGGTTTTTGGGGTGATGCTCCAGGTCCACATATAGAATGGGGTCCATCTGTAGCCGGTGTTGGGGGCCGAGCCGAAATAGAGACCGAGAATGAAAAGCGCAATCCATAGCTTGCGATTGGACAGTCGAAAAGGGTGGTACTTCGTTGGGAAACGGACGCTCCATGGCTTTTCACCTTCTGCCGGGCGCTCCCATGTGCCGTTGATCAGGTCCGCTTCGGCCATCAACATGCCGCTTAGGAAGAGAACGACATCCCAACGGCCCCAGCGCATACAGAACCAGACTAGTGTGCTGACCAGAGACATCCTGATGACAGTGGTTAAGCGAGAGGTGGCCAGGATGGTGAGGAATAGTACGATTGAGCAACGGAATTCCACGGGGATGGTCCATAGGTGTGGATTATAGTGATTGTAGTACAGAGCCCAATCCCATGGGTTCATTAGATGGACTACTGTGGAGTACCAGTTCCAGAACTGTTTGTGAAAGGACTTCATGATAGGCGGATGCTGCTCATTGGTGCCCTGAATCGTGTGGCCTTCGAAAAGGACCTTCTGCGAATAGTCATATACACCCAATCGCACGGCCAGCATAACGATCAGGATGCCAATGATTGAGGGGATATAGAGTCGGAGGCCACGGCGGAATGTAGAGGAGGCCAGCACGGTGAACGTCTGTTCCCATGATCGACTGCGGATCATTCTCAAAGGTTTGTAGGAAAGTACATATCCAGAGATCACAAAGAAGATGGCCACCATGATATGGCCGGATACTAACATATGGAGGATGGGCAGCTGGAAGAGGTTGTAATTCTCACGGTTGAAACCCCATCCGACCGCAACTTTCCAGGTGTATGTGAAGAGGAAATGAAAGTTGAACACGAGAAGACAGGCCCAGCCGCGCAAACCGTCCAGCGCTGCGATGGCATGAAGTTTCGAGGGCTCGGGCGGTTGGCCGCCGACCAAATGCTGCAAATAACTCGGCGTAATGGCGATCGCAAGCTTGTCCAAAAATGATTCCAAATATGCTTGCCAATTGTTGGTGAAGTCCTGGACACGACTTGAGGGATCGGAAAGGATGTGCGACGGCGTGAAATCGGTGATATTCGTCCATTTCGTAGATTCTTGGGAGTCGCGATTGGCTCCCGACTCTAGATCATTCAGGGGAATGTTGTCTGTCGCGGGGGAGGATCGAAGATCCTGGTCCCGACCGTTAAATGACATCGCAGCAACGGGTTGAGAGGAATGTGGTCGAGGCGCAATTCCCTCCCCACGAAGATTCTCAGGAGAGGTGATTCTCGATAGCAAAGAATTCCCGATTAAATGCGGAAAGTGATTGCGTAACCATCAGTGGACCGCAAGCGGCAGTCCAACGTGGCCTTGCGAGGGATCGACATCCACCGATCGAAGGTGAAATGGCAATGAGGTGATAGAGAACAAGCCCTTACTTCGAGAGGAAGGGGGGGGTACAGTCGAAACAAGATTTGGCGGGGTGAACTACCGATCTGGATCGTATATAGATATAGATATAGATATAGATATCCACTTGTATAGAGGCCAAGAAATATTCAAAATCGGAAAGAAAGGCAGAACGGGACCAGAAAAGCGAAAAAGGAGCGATGGATCTGTAAATGAAGGAAGAGAAGCTCAGAAGAAGCAAACGCGAAAGAGAAAGATAACGAGAAAAAGAAAAAGAAAAAAAAGAAAAAAAAAAAACAGGAGAGGACAATAGTTGCCCTTAATTTAAGAACACATTGCGGGATTGAAAGAGGGTACTGTAATTTTATAGTCGTTTGAACCAGACTACACAGTATAAGAGATCCAGCACAATATCAAATGATTTATAGGAATGGCGAATGACACCGAAAGTCGCATTGGAATTGAGAGATAAATGAATGATTTCCATTCTATCGAAGAATATAATCGTCTACATTCGAGATACATTCTTCTGCTCGATATATTATATTATATTATTTTATTTTGAATAATTTGTGAAGCTATAGCAGTTCATAGTCGAGGTGCCGTCCAATCACGACATCCGCATCCCGCGACTGAACCAAGTTCGGCTTATCTCCAACTATTCTTTTTCTCCTTCTCTTCTTTTTCTCTCTCCCTTTTACCTCCCCCGTCGCTCTCCGGCGTTCTCTGCAACAACCCCATCCGCTCGAGTCGATTCCATGTGGTGACACCATTTCCTCGCCCCTTACTCTTTTTTCTTGTCGAAGAGCCACCTCTACCCCGGTTAGTTCGGGGTGTTGTGGAAGGAGGGTCGCAGCTCCCGAAGCTCCATCAAGCTACGTACGTTATATTCGTTATTGTACCACGAAGAATCCTTCCACCACCAAGATCGCGATCGACTCCACCAACAAAATCCCTTCGCCATCATGGATTTGCGCACGATTATGAACAACGATGCCTCGGGCACGTCGGATGCTCCACCAACTGCTCCTCCCCAGTCTCCGTCGCAAGTGTCGCGTAAGCCTTCGGATCCCATGTATGCTCCCCGCGACCAACAACGGACCTCCTCCTATCCATCTGCCTACTCGAGTCACCCCCCTCAGCCTCCACCCCTACAACGTCCTCATGCCTCCCCAGAACGTTCTTCTTCCTATGGATCGCTCCAATCGCCCTATCAATACCATCCTCCCTCCGCACAGGTTGCAGGCGCACAGTCTCAGCGCGGCCCGAGTCCTCCCCCCTATGGTTCCTCCGCCTCGCGTGACTCGTTCTCTACCTATGGCCATCCCCAGCAGCAGCCCCAGCAGCAGCAGTCGCCCTTCGCACAGCAGCGCTCGCAATCCATCCAGTCTGTCCTGACCCCCTCGTCTACCTCCACCTACTCATTTCATCCCAGGGAAAGCCCGCCAGCGGCTGCTTCACAGTCTTACCCGTCACAGCAATTCCCCCCTCCAGCCCAAGGTTCCGTACCCAATACACCGCGAGGTTCTATTTCTGTTGCTGCATCCTATACCCGTCAAACGCCCCCATCGGCGCGCCCCCAATCCTCCGGCCATGAATCCTTGTCAAATCGTGCCTCGAGCCCGTGGGTGGGTTCGGACGCTCAGGTTCATATGTCGCCAACGGCGATACCCCGTGTCTCACGACAGGATTCAAGGCCGCTAGAACAAACCCCGAGACAAAATTCTTCGGCGACCGACAGAAGGGACTCGGATGAGAGTGTTAGTCCGAAAACCGCTTTTCCTTCTGGGTCTCGGCAAGGGAGCACGGCCGGATACACCGACCTAGCGGCGGCCTCTTCTCAACCGAAGCCCACCGAAAATGGTGTCTCCTTGAAGGAAAGCTCACCCAACCGCCAAACACCCCAACCTGCCCCAGCAGTCTCAAACTTTGACAGCTCACCGCCCGCTCGAAAGTCTCTGACAGACGATTCCTCTGCGATCGATCAAGTCCGCCCGTTGCCAACAAAGATGGACCTGACTCCAGACGCAAGGACCAATTCAAGTCCGCAAGCTCCCAGAGTGAAGAGGAGGCGTTATGAAGAACCGCCAATCTATGCCCGAAGATCAGTACGCACCAAAGGGAGGATTCCGATGATCCCGAACCGCTGTCCACCGATCCCGAAGCATGCCAGAAATTCAACGCAAAATCCTTTTCTGATGCGCCAACAAAACGTTTCCGCCCAGGCCTCCGCTGCAGATTCTCCGGCCAAACCCAAAAGCGAGACACCACCTGTTAATGGCCCTTCGGCCCCCCGGCGGCCTCCAGAGCCTGCGCAGGCAGGAAGCTTAGGACCGTGGGAACCCTCGATCTATGGGTACATCCCGCACGAGGAGGTCACAAAAGCGGTCTGCGATTTCTTGTTCCAACATGTGGTTATGAGGAACGACGCGTCTGTGGCTCCTGCTGGTACGGCAGGAACCGGTCAGGGAGCAATGATCGAGGTGGAAGCCAAACTGGGACAGCTCGTTGACATGGACAGGGGTGAGAGACTTCTCTTGCCCATTTCGACCGAAGGTATTGTGAATAAGGAAAACACCCGCTTGCGAACTGCGTTCGAGAGCACGATGACGTTAGTAAGTAAAAAAAAATTTTTCCCCGCCCTCATTCCCCAACCGGAGTCACTCACTTCAGTTGAGGCTTATTGAATAACCGATTGACCATTGAGTAGGCACAACATCGGGCAATGAATAACTTTCTGAACGAAGCCGTGAAGATGTCTATGCCGCAAGCTAACCCAGGACGCATTCCATTATCGTACGCACACAAGAAAGAGCGGGATACCTTTTACGAAATATCACCATCAGAGCTTCCTCCTGTCATTAGGCAGAATCTGAATCCTCGCCATAAACCCAAGGTGCGAGTAACTTTAGACCAACGAACGGGCGAGGTCCTCGCAAAGATCGTGAAATGCCGGATTGCCGACCTTGATGTCTACAGTCCTCGCACATGTGTCGATTGGCGAATTAGCGTCAACCTGGAAATGAGCTACGAAGGCGATGTCAGCCACCTCACCGTGGTAGATCCCGGTCGGGGACGCGGCGGAGAGCGAAACAAGGATCGTATGAGCTATCGACATCTGGCTTACCAGATCGACCTGACACAAGTGGCCAAATCAGAGGTAAGTCGCTTACATTCACCCGGTTTCACTGGATGGCCAGCTATCCACCAGTTGATTGGAGACACTTCTGACTTAATATGTGCTGTATAGCCACAATCCAAAGGTGAATTCGAACATGAACTCGAAGTTGAAATCTCCGCCGCTGAGATCCGCCGTCAGGGTCAGCTCGCCATGGCTGGCGACCCTAAAAACCAATACGAAGAGCTTGTTAAGGGATTTGTGGATAATATTCGCATCCTTGCACGAGCAGTGCCTCCATAAATCTTTTTCATACCCCTGAAATTATTGTCGATTCGTGTTTACATCGCACACTACGCCGCCAAATGGTTTTCTTCCTTTTTTATTTTTTCTTGCCTCTCACGTAACATAGAAAGACGACGGCCCTGAAGATCCCAAAGAAGAACAAACGGATCTATGAGAGCTGCATATGGAAAACAAAAGTCAAGTTCACATGGTACATTCTCTGCCTGATTGATTTACTTTATACCTATATGTTTTAATAATTGTCAACCACATATATCCTTCTCATGGAAAGAGATGATGAATGATGCGTCACGCCCTTTCTTTTTCACTTTTTCGTTCTTTCCTTCTCCCTCCCCATCCTTCTTGGTCTTCATCCAGCCGTTCAGATTCCATATGGATTTCTCATGGTTAGGAACATGTGTTTCACTTCTCTTCCCCCTTACCTACCCTTCTCTTGTGACACTATTACGATTTGTATAATATATATGAATACATTGCACTATATCAGACAGAGGGTTTGTTAATATATCTACTGTGACTAAAGTGCGCAGCTAACTCAAAGGCCTGAATGTGATAGAACAGTTGATATTTCAATATTTTAATGTCATGATACAATGAATGATACACTTCCATAGAACAAAGTTGACCAATTAACCATGCCCTGTATTGCTTTATAAGAAACAGAAAAGATATAAATGTAAGGATGAATGAGATACATGACTACGCCAGATTGCCCCTCCCCGCTTGAACTTTTCCCCCTTTAGTTCTGCCCCGTAAGAAATGGCATTAAGGACTAGGCGTTCCCTCTTCGTACCGTGGTCCTGCATCATCGCCGTCTCCGCCCATCGCCGGGGTAGGGGCGTCATATGGACGACTGTCCCAGGCAGCGGGGGTAGGGGCATCGTACGGCTTCTTGGACGGCCCGCCGGGGGTCGGCGCGTTAAATGCTCCTGGGGTCGGCGCACTGTCGGCCCAGGCTCCAGGCGTGGGCGCTGAGACACCGGGAGTTGGAGCACTGCCATATGCGCCTGGGGTGGGTGCAGAATAGGCTCCGCCTGGAGTGGGGGCGTCGTAGCCACGGGAGTCTTTGCTGCCGTTGCTTGCCGTAGCTCCTGACCAGGCTGGGGTGCGACTGCCGGAGTTTGCGTTCCAGGCCGGGGTTCTGGAGCCGGCTGCGAAGGCGTCGAAGTCACTCTGTCCGGAGCCGGAGCCGGAACCGCCGTAGGGAGTCCGGGCGCCTGCGTTCCAGGCCGGGGTGCGTGAGCCGAACCCGCCATATGCGGTGCGGCTTCCATCGTAGGGGTTCGATGTACGGGATCCATCGTTCTTCCATGCTGGTGTGCGAGAACCGCCCACGCCAGCCCAAGCAGGTGCTGAAGCGCTTTGTTAGCATCGTAGACCAGAGACATAACACATGGAAAGACTTACTCCTCGCGGAGGATGCACCGCCCCAGGCAGGTGTCCTGGATGAATCTGCAGCTGCCATCGGTGTGCGGCCACCCTGCCAGTTTGATGGTGGAGCTGCTGAAGGGACGCGCGGTCCTCCTCTGCCGCGGCCCATTTCGATTGTTTGGCCCGTTACGGGGTCTTTGACAACGAGGAGCTCCTTGGGAATCGACACCAGCTTGTTCTTGGAGTGGAGCTCCACACGTGCCTGCACATCTCCCGCATCTTTGACAATACCCACAAGACCTTTGAAGGGCCCCTTTCGGACCATGACTGTCTTTCCGATCATCCGGTCGCGACCGAAGCTCTTCGGGGGACCCATCATGCCGCCAGGTGCGCCACGACTCATCAGAGCCGGGTTCATCTTAGTGAGGTCAGGGCCCGTAGACCGGCCTCCCTTAGCTGATACTGTTACAACGTTGGTTGTACGCACGACAGTAATACCGGAATTCTCAGCCTGAGCCTTGTTATGCAAGAACAGGAATGAACGGTGAATGTGGAGGATCACGCCGTTCCTTTGTTCACCGTATACTTCGCGAACGGTATCTCCATGTCTAATCTCTGCACCATTCCGATCCGTAGCAACTGCATCCCGACGCGGTGTGATCTTATTTGTTACTTGAGTAGGCAGGATAGTGCGAATCGAACCGTTTTGATCCAAAACCCGCAAGGACTCTCGATCAACCTTGACGATACAAGCAACAGTAGCGGCACTATTAAGAAGTCAGATAAAGCAATGAGTAGGGCCGAGTAACTCACTCTAGCTGTACAAGGTCATGTACGTCGAACATTCCAAGCTTTCCGTCAACACCTGTTTCGGCAGACAGCCGAAGATCCTTGCTGAACACAGTGATCTCCTGCATGCTCATATCGCTAAGTAACGTTACGGTGTCGTCCTTAACTTGGACCACCATTCCCAGCTCATCTTGATATCTGCTACCACCGATGACCTTGACGTGATCACCCTCCCTGAAGCGTTTACGGAGAGATTTAACAGGGGCATCAATATGTTGTCCTGCAAGGTCACCTTCGGTAACTTGTAAAGTAACGATATCACCGCGAGTAGAAGTAGTGCGACCGATCAAGCCCTGCTGTTCACCACGGAACACTTCAACCGGATCCCCTGGAAGGTAAGAGTCTTCAGCCGTGGAATTCTTGAGTGTTTCCGCGAGAGACGCAAGATCTAGATTGGCAGTGCCGTCCTCTGAGCCTCGAGCAAACATGGTAACCTCCTCAAGCCGCGGGCTCACATTCTTCGTGATTAAATGTTGTACCTTCATGTCCTTGATTAAGAAACCGTCGATGTAGGTCTCTCCTAGATAACTCCAGGATTTTCCACCCAATCCTGACGTGGCCGAAAGATATTTTCCGTGTTTCTTTTTAGCTTCAGCTTCACTGAACAGACGTTGAGGCGGCCGGGCTACCGCAGGGTTCGTGCCAGGACGCTTCCTCTTGGGATCCATAAAAGGCGCACCGGTGTCCTCGTTCAAGCCATAGTCTAGACGCGGAACCAAGCGAACAGTCACAGCGAGACCGTTGGTTTCAACTTCTTCAATCTGGGCCAGATCGTTTTGATACTTGCCACGTTTGATACGAACCCAGCCACCGGGCAAGAGTTCTTCAGACTTTTGCACCCGGAGAAGGTCCGGCATTTCTCGCACAGGAACTAGAATCATCTTCGTCCGTGGGTAGACGTTGGACATATCTTGCAATGCATCCATGACGTCCGCTTGCCTGCGGGCTTCAACATAGATGTACCCACTCATAGCTCCTCCACGCTCAAAGGCAGAAATGACTTTCATAGGGTTGCGAGAGCCCATGGGTCGCTCTTCCATACGTTTCTGGATGGCGAAAATAACCTCCCTTTCTTTGCCGGGCTTACAACGGACACCCCAGATGCTAGGATCCTCGACACTAGGAAGTAGTAGACGCTTCGGTACAACGACTGCATCGGAGGCTGCAGCACGGTTCCGTCCGTAACGTTCTTTGAGCAACTGCGCTTGTTTCTCGGCATCCATGCTGGCCTCAAGCTCGCGCTGGCGATCGAGCTGTCGGTGGCGACGGTCGTCGGTCTCAGCGCCGACAGGCAGCGCATCCATATCATCTGGATGCATTTCCCCACCAAGTTCGGCCATTTCATCCTCTTCATCTTCGGCCTCATCTTCATCTTCGTCGACGCCGGCCTCTTCCTCGAAGAAAGTGTGCACACCTGCTCTCTTTCTGCGCTTTTTGGGTCGCTATTAATAAGAACGATGGTCAGTATTGGCTACGATGGAATCAGGAGCAGCCCAAATGGTGCTAGCACTCACAGACACGGCACCCCCTTCATCTTCATCGTCATCTTCCTCCTCTTCCTCCTCCTCGTCATCATCGTTCTCCTCATCTTCCTCGTCGTCATGCCCGTCGGCATCGTCGTTATCTTCAGCCTCCTCGCTACCGACTCGACGTTCCACCCGTCGTGTAGGCTTTACATCTTCTTCATCGTCATCATCGTCCCGATCTTGATGCGTCGGCTATAACCCCCATACGTGTTAGCACCACCAGCTACTATCGACTAAGGTATCTGTAGTACTGACCCTGGCGTCTTCATTGTCTGAATCGTATGCGGGGGCGGGGTTGAAGTCATCGTCTTCTTCTTCAGAACCGAAGTCGTGATCCAACATGTTTCGTGACATATTGCGCGGAGTGTTGGTAAAGTGACTTCGAACTGGGGCTTGGTTCGGGGTATTGTCGGACTAAGTGGTTGAGATATGAGTCGCAAGAGGGCCGTATAATGATTATGGACGACCTAGTGGCGCGAAGGAAGTCACAGTTAGATCACTTTGAGCTTTCGAGCATACAGTTCGGGAGAAATCGAGATCGCGGATAAGGAAGGCGTAGAAAACCGAGAACACCGTCGAACCCAAGGTAAGACGAAAGGGCGCAATACTTATTATGTAATCGGGATAGGGAATCGCTGAGGTTCCACGATTCACAAAGAACTCCAGGACGAAAAATGGGTATCAAACAGCCTTGCTGTTGCTTCGGCCAGCCAGGCGGGCGGCGTATCCTTCGCCGAGTCCGCGATCACGGCACGAGTCAATCGGAGGTGAGAGGGCGAGAGAAAAAAGGATGGAAACTACCCACACCAGACCACAAGAAGATGATGCCCACCAGGGTAGCAAGCTGTAACAGAAGAAGTGGGAGGTGGCGCAAGATCAGTGGTCTTTATAAGATTGTCGGAGGCTTGTTGAAGACGAATCCATGGGTTGCGCAATTGGCTCAACTGCGGCGACGGAGTTCTTCCTTAGTGCTCTGATTGAGCCAATGAGCATCATTCGCTCTAGATCTCTTTCCAAGTTTGTAGCTACAGTTTCTCTCGTTTTTCAACTATTCCCATGGAGATTCATTCTTGTTCAATATAGTCTTTACAGGCTCCCTGGAAATTTGTCACGGGCTAAATATACAGGGAACCTTAAAACACCACTGTTGTTACCAGCGAAGATTTTATACTGAGCAGATCTTGAACAGGGAACCATGAATATATAGTGCTATCTGCAACCAGCCCATACAAGACCCCTTGGATTATGCTAAGTTGGTCAATCTATGCTATCGTGTACTCCTTTCACATCCTGACCACTGCACTTAAGCTGCCGATAGCACACGCCGATATCGTCTTAAATATTTATTGCATATGCCTACCAACAGAGATAAAAGTGTTTCTGCCAGTTATGCCGCAGCTTTGTACGTATTCGCTCTAGTAACCAGGATGAACGATCAAGGCCCATGTCAGGAATACCCAAGACCATACACTAGAGCTCAATCTACAAGAATTTCAAGGCCAAGTGGCCTTTCGTATTTTGGGTGGGATCATGCTACTCTTTAGAAAAGTGGTCCAAGCAAGATATAGTACAGTGAATTGAACCTAAGAGATCACTAAACTGCCGGGTGAGCCGGATATCAAAAGCTCTATATGCCCAAAACCAAGGTTATATCCAAACAACATCGAGGACGAAGAGGGGGAATAAATATACGAGAAGAAAACCAAGTGCGCTCATTTACAACTTCATGCCAAACATCTTGTGCACACGTAGACTCTGACGCATACTCAGGTCCAGCATGATCTCCTCACTTCCACCAGGGATAGCGTACGCACGAACATCACGGTATAGCCGCTCCACCTTACCACCCTGGCCGCCGCGGCTGTAGCTCAGACCACCAAAGATCTGACTAGCCTCACGAGCGCAGAACTCGAAGATAGTCGTTGACTGAGCCTTGAGACTTGCGATTGCACCGCCCAGCTTGAGCATCGCTTCAGTCTCCTCCATGGACTGGCATTGATAGATGATGTTTTCCAGCCAGTTGTACGTCGCTTCAATCTGACGGGCCATGTGTGCGAGCTTCATCCGGATAACAGGGTGATCGATGAGTCTCTTGCCAAAGGTCTTACGCTTGTGGGCATATTTCATCGCTTCCTCGTAGCACACACGAGCAAATCGGACACACTGAATGACAATTCCAATGCGCTCGTGGTTAAAGTTGGTCATGATGACTACACAATCGGTTAGTAACTGTAGAAAAGCAACAGCACTAGGAGGCCTACCCTTGAAACCCTGGTTTTCCTTTCCAATGAGGTTTTCCACCGGCACCTTAACATCCTCGAAGGTGACATAAGTCGTGCCGCTGCTCCAGACACCCTGGCAGTCCATGCGCCTCGTGCTGACTCCACCGTGCTCTCTCTCAATGAGAAGGACGCTGATACCATTCATACCGGGCCCGCCCGTACGAACAGCAGTAGTGAAGTAATCGGCATAGACACCGTTGGTAATCCACTTCTTCTCGCCGTTGACAATGTAGTGCTTGCCATCAGGGGTGAGCTTAGCCTCGCAGGTAAGGTTAGCAACATCGCTTCCAGCATCTGGCTCGGTAATAGCAAGACAGATACGCTTATCGCCGTTCAAAATGCCGGGGAGGATTCTGTCAACAAGAGGCTTCTTGCCGTATTTGACTAGTGGGGGGCAACCGATACCGTAGCCACCGATCAAGTTCCAGACAAGACCACCACTACCTGCGCGAGACAGCTCGTCGGTAAGGAGCATCTCGTGGAACAAGTCCCAATTTTCAGGGGCGACAGACTGGACACGGTTGTCCGTGTGGTTGACAGGGTATTTGACACCCAAGAGACCTGCAAGGTAGCCCCGCTCACCCATCTGCTTGTAAATACGATCGGGAACATTCTTTGCCTCATCCCATTCGGTCACGTAGGGCTCAATCTCAGACTCAACCCATTGGCGAACTTCATCGCGGAGAGCTGCGTGAGTCTGGTTGAAGTATGGAGAGGAGTACTGTCGAGAAATCGTTGGTTAGCCTGTAGTTTCCCGAGTTATGTGTCCCAGGCAAACTTACGCCTTGATACCATGAGGGATCGGCAAAGGGAATCAAGTCACCATAAGGGTCTTGAGGCTCGGATGACTGGGCCGAAACGTCCACTGGAGCTGCCTGCTTAGGCTTGGGGGCTTCCTTGGTTGCTGCTGCTGGTTCCGGTACCGGTGCAGCTGCGGCCTTTGTGTTCAAGGAACCAACCTGCAGCTTGCCCTTGTACTTCTTGAGAATTCCTTCGTTGTGATACTTCCAGAACTGCTTCGAAGCATCCTTTCCTCCGACCCGCGAAAGAACTAAATATGCATAATTAACATCGACACCCCCATCGAGGATAGTAGGTATTAGGACGTACTCTTTTTTCCACCTATGCAGAGTGACGTTAGCATCGCGTGAATACATGTGACGATCCACGGAACTGTTCAAACATACCAGGGTGCTCATCCTGAAACTTGGTCAAGTCATAAACATCTTCATCGATAACAACCCAGAGGTTATCTGGCTTGTTATGCGATGCGACGTCTTCCTTTGAGAAAGTTTTGGACATGATCGCGTGTGAGAATGGAACGAACAATATATGACCAGAAGTATGGGAGAGAGAGATTACGAGCTCTCGAGGGCCAGCAGTGTGTGCAGCGACGATACGATTCTTGGAGTAATCGGCACTAAAACACAGAGGGGTATGGAGAAGAGAATCTGGGGTAAGACAGAGGGAAGAGGGTGGATAGATATATGGATGACACGGAGGTCTCCGTCACGGGGAACTGTCGCAAGGACCAGTTGGGATGAAGGAAAATAAGCAGTGGAGGTAAGGCACTCGGACAAAAGCCTAAAATGTTCAGCGATCAACACACAAGCGTCCTCGGTAGCCAGCGAAATGTTTGGATAGCAGGTGGTCACTTTTTTTTTTTTTTTTAATCTACTGGCAGCTGTTGGAGGCCTTTCACATGTCCGATAAGTGAGGACCAAGGTGCTGTCCAATCAGGGTCATCGATTCTTCACCTCGGTCAGTGTCGCCGCTGAGGTAAGCATTCTGCAGGTCATTTGCTGGCCTGTTAATCCTTCGGTGATTGGCCCATCGGTGGCTTTCTGCGTCATGCTCTGGCTGTCCACATCGAGCAAGTGCCGAGGCTGCCGAGAGATTATCCACGTGACGTCAATCTGCCCCAGACATTTGGAGACTCTTTCCATATACAAGGTTGGGAGACTAATCAGAAATGGGACCTCGACATGTGAAACCATGGGTTCAGCCAAATTTCAACACTACCAGCCCCTGTCTATCGTAGTATCGTGCCGTATCTCCGTGGTTTGTTGCCGGCACTAAGAAAGAGATACTCCGTACGTCCTACACTGCTAAATGGCCGGTGCTCCCAGGGAGTTACTATAAAGGGTATAGTGTCCCTCAATCATAGTGGACTCCGTGTCCATCACGGGTCCATCGCAGTATATACTCCCTAGAGTATAGCCTATACTTCTTACTACTCACCTTGAAAATAGACCTGCTCTTCCACTCTGCTTTCCCTGTTCTGATGAACTGCAAATGCAGAAAAATCGGCACCTACCTGGCTCATATTGCACAACTTCGCCAATGACATCAATTTAGTAGCGTGTTGTAATGTCACTATACAACTGTTTTGCGTGTTCGAGACCTAGGGCCAGGGCTGCCTCTGTATATATTAGTCAATTGTACAGACGAGATGTAGGGCAGAAGGCCAAAGATATTGATATTTGGTGCTAGAGACTGTACATTAGCCGAACCGGGTCAGGTATCGGGGTTCAGCACCAAGTACATGTTAAGAAGATCTCTGCATGTGTGTGTGTGTATGTGTGCAGCTAGAGACATCGACAAAGATATATGAACCGGTGCCGAGAGTGTCCAGAGATTCGTGAACCCCTGATCTGTTGCCGTAGCGCCGTCATCGAATCCCGTGATATATCCGTAACTAGTAGGGAGTAAACACGCCTGAGAGTCATACCAACAGCGGCTCATTTGTTCCTGAAAAAGGGAATTTGACTTGGACCACCTCTAGTTCAGCTATAGAGCTAATGAACTCGTGGGAAGATGTCCTCACAACATATCCACGTTAAATCTCCCACGGTCAGTCCTGCGACTTCGTTGGGTTGACTCAAATGGATATCGATAAACTACCGAATTCGGACTCGGATTTATTTCCATCCCGCCCGAGCCAATTAGGGTTTCTGGGGCAGCGGGTGCCGCCGCGTCGCCATTCGGGCAGTTCTGTGGGTGACAGACAAGTCTAACCAACATCTCTGATGTTTGTTGTCCTCGAAGAGAGAGCTTTGGATGATAAGAATAGGAAATATGTTTATCCGGGCACGCCTCTATTGACAAGCCAAGGCCTGGAGACCTCACCGATCCTTATCAACCGATAAATACTACTCCTTTAGTCGTCATTATCGTCGGTTTCCCTATTCCAGTACTGCAGGTCGAACATTCCGTTAGGTCGCCACATTTTTGGCAGGACAGCGCATTCCTGTTGGGTCTCTCATACGACCCCGCATCGCCATGCCTCCCTTACTAACTAATCGGCAAGCCGAGGAGCTGTGAGTCTGGCCCATGCGAGCTAGTCGCTGGCGAAAGCTAAATACGCGTATAGGCACAAGTCAATGATAGCATACCTCGTGGCGAGCGACCTACCAGACACCGCGGCCGCACTCCGGAGAGAAGTGAACCTCAGCGAAGATGCGTTTGATCCAACTACAGCGAAAAGGTACGAAGGGATGCTGGAGAAAAAATGGACAAGCATTGCCCGCTTGCAGAAAAAGGCATGTCTGCGCTTCAGATCCTCTGTTTCGTCCACCGTATTACTCACTAGCGGCGCGGTGACATCTAATCTTCATTTCACGACAGATAATGGATCTTGAGTCGAGAAATGCGGCGCTTCAATCCGAACTCGATAACTCCACACCCGCCTCCCGTTTAAAGCGCAACCAAGATCCAGCCTCTTGGCTTCCGAGTACGGTTCGCTATTCACTAGAATCACATCGAGATAAAGTAAATTGTGTTGCCTTCCACCCGACATTTTCCTCCATTGCCTCCGGCTCCGACGATTGCACGATAAAGATATGGGACTGGGAGCTCGGGGAGCTTGAACTGACGCTTAAGGGCCATACAAGAGCAGTCCGGGATGTTGATTACGGCGGGCCGCGGGATAATGTCCTTCTGGCTTCCTGCAGCTCTGACCTATCTATTAAGTTATGGAAACCGACAGACAATTATAAGAATATCCGGACCCTGCAAGGCCACGATCACATCGTCAGCGCGGTTCGTTTTATACCATCTAGAAATCTGCTGGTGAGCGCAAGCAGAGACAACGATATGAGAATCTGGGATGTCACAACCGGATATTGTGTGAAGACAATAAACGGTCATACTGACTGGGTGCGGGATGTTAGCATCTCGTTTGACGGGAGGTTTCTTTTCTCCACGGGACAAGACATGACCGCCCGTTTATGGGATATCTCTACTGTATCGAATATAGAACATAAACGAACGATGCTTGGTCACGAGAATTTCATTGAATGCTGCGCTTTTGCCCCGCCTACGTCATACCAGTTCCTTGCACCCTTGGCCGGACTAGGGAAACGCCCTTCTTCTACAAACGGAGCTGATTTCATGGCGACCGGGTCACGAGACAACACTATTAAGATATGGGACAGCCGCGGGATGTGTCTTATGACGTTAGTGGGCCATGATAGCTGGGTTCAGGCGCTGGTGTTCCACCCGGCAGGGAAATACCTCCTTTCAGTATCGGACGACAAGACCTTAAGATGCTGGGACTTGAACCAACAAGGAAAGTGCGTCAAGACGCTCGACGCCCACGAAAGCTTCGTCACCTCCCTGCGATGGGCTCCAGGAGTTGCCAAGAATGTACCCGGCGGAGACGGCGCAGCGGAGGGAGAAGGAAATGATAAGAATGGGGCTGGTAGTGAAAACCCTGCCAATGTCCAGATGCGCTGCGTGATCGCAACAGGGGGCTGGGATCAGAAATTAAAGATCTTTGCGGGCTGAGGTCGCGAAAGAAATAATCATCGGGGAAGGATAGGAACGGTGCTTTGTATGGGGCTCCCTATAACCCATTCAAAAATGGTCATAGAGCCAAGCTACACCCCTACAGAGATGTAACCACGATTCTTCTCTGCCACACATCCCCTCCCTGTGTGTCTCTTGAGCCGATTACCTGGAGTTTCATGCGCCACGGGCTGGCGTATACCCATAGCGTTCCTCGTCGCTGTGGTGGTCGCTATTAACGCGACAGAGAGAAGCTTGGATTGCCAGGACGAGTCGGACAATAGCGACGACAGTGATAGTTGAGTAGTAATTTGTCCGATGAAAGCAACCTTTTGAGGCTCAAGTGGTCTTCTCAGAAAGTGCCAGTTCGCTCTGTATATATATTTCAAGTAAACTCATATATAGTCTGGCTGAACACCGTCTGGACTCGTTCGGACTAGCATTCGAGTCCTTATTATGTACGACATCAATGAAGGGCGACCAAAGATCATGAGATGCTTTTCCCAAATTGTCAGTTAAGGTGTATATTGGATAATGATATTTACATGGAATCCAGTTCACCATGCCTCGTGGACCTACTGATCGAACATTCTCATGGAATAGTCACCCCCCAGGCTTAACTAATTCATTTACACATCTACGAGTCTTCTGGAGACTAGTAGATACTAATAGGTGGATAACTTCGGTCGGAAAATAGAAACCGATATAACCATGCAATGCTATGTATTTCACCGGCCCCACATAACAAACGTATTCGCAAGTAGATATTCAAGGAAGTAAGGCAGCAATACTGCTGTCATTTCAATAAGACATAGATCCATAATTAATCTAGAAATACAACCAGTGCAAAGATCACGGATGTGACCATCCGCTTAGTCCTCGTCACCGTCGGTTTCATACTCAAACTCCTCGGGGACAGGAGCCTCCTCGTCATCCTCGTCATCCTCATCAACAGCTGTCAAAACACCCGCAGCAGCAGCGGCTCCTGCAGCTGCCTCAGCCAAGCGGCTCGAGCCCCGTTGAGGGGTTTGGAGGGCCGCGGCGCCCATGGCAGCTTGCAGTCGGTCTTGCAGAGACTCTGCCGCCGCCGTAGGTTGCCTGACCTCCTTACTTGCTTTCATCTCAATCGTCTCCCGTGGTTCCTCTGGTTTATTATCCAGCACGACAACCACTCCACCGGTAGGCTATTGTTGCGCAGTTAGCATATCTGATCAATCTAGACACAAGGACTGAATGCAAGAGATACGTACCCGTTTGACCGGCTCGTACCGTGGATCAGGGAATGTGAGGTACTTCAGTTGAGCGGGGAGGACTCTTGACATGTTCTCGAGCTCATATCCAACTCGTTCCCGTTCCACCTTCTTTCTTTGGCCCTCTCCAGACTCTTTCTCCCCTTCCTTAGTGTCATCCTCCACCTTGGCGGTGTCGTCCGTTTCCATTCTATCCGGCATTTGATCCGAAACCTTAGGTGTGGTAGGTGTCTGATCAATATCCATGCTCTCTCGTCGTTGCTGCTTCTCTCGGCGCTGTGCACGACGCTTAGCCTGGGCGGTGGTGGACAACACGGCAGTTTTGACTTTCTCAGGAGCTTCCTCGGTTTTGACCTGTTGTTCGGGAGGATAGTCAAACAGGCTCGGCCGAGTATTACTGTGGAACTTGAAGAAAGGAACTTCAAGCTTCTGGTCCACGCCGATCACAGAAGTGGGAGCGAAGCTGAGCGACAAGAAATGGGTAAGAGGGAACCAGTACCAGTACTGCGTAAATACAGCAGCACCGACGATTCCAGGCATATTGAGATTGCCAGTCTGTGTCTGAAGGCTGATAGTGCAATTCCGGCCACCAGCATCTATGATACCCAGGGCGACGGCGCAACCAAACTTAGCCATAGCATCCTCGTGTCTATCTCCAATCATCTTCATCATGACTTTCCGAAGGGTGCTGACTCGGGGGTTCATGGCCTCGTTCTGCTGCACCAACACCATGGCCAGAGAGATTAGAGCTCCCTGTCTCACAAAGTCCGTGGAATCTTTGAGCATCGGCTCAAGCAGGTCGATGGCCTCATCCAAGCCCGTTCCAGCACATGAGATACCGAGTGCCATGGCAGCACCATACCGTACGTGAGGATTATAGGACTCCGAAAGGAGCTCAACCATACGAGGCACGCTCTGGTACTTTCTGAACAGGATAAAGCCCAAGCTCAGGACTGCAATCCGTCGCACATCATCGTTGACATCGCTAACGGCAACATGGAGGAGCTTACGGACAGCCTTGTTGCTACTGGTGCCACAATAGGCGAGAGCAATAGTCATGATACCACCGTAACGGAGAGTGGGATCAGGGTCGCCCAAAAGGCCATTGATCAGCTCATCAGCAGCCTCTTGGCGGGAGTACATGATCAGCGCCATACCCATAGCCAGACCGCGAACGATCTTCTCGTGTTGTGTCTCATGGGCATACTGAATCATATCCTCGAGAGCTCTCATGTTACCTGTTCCCAGCATGACCAAACCCATGGCCAAACCAACAGCTTCACCGTTGATGGCTGAATCAGAATACAGGACGGTTCGCAAATCATCGTAGATACCCTCATCGCCAGTTGCCATGCCGGCGACGCCTAGACCTAAAGCTCCACCATGCTGAACAACCTCCTCGGTCGCCTTCTTGAAGTGGTCGCGAATAAGGTCAACAGCCATACCGCCATGGTTAGCATATATCAAACCAAAGGCGTACAACGAGCCTCCTTGGCTGTAGACTGAGCCTGATCCTCCAACACCGGCAATATGCTCCCTTGGAAGGTACGGCTGCAGGAGCTTTTGGCCCTGGCTCAAGTTACCACGATGGATGACACCAAGAGCAGCCGTAGCGGTGAACTTGGACCAGTTGACAGCCTTTCCTAACCATTCTAAATTGTCCCGGAAAAACTTGTCATGTGTGGTACCCGCATGCATAAAAGCATTGGAGAGTGTGACAGCGGTGTGGAAGATAGAATTCCGAGCTTCCAGGCTATCCCGAACTTTGTTAAGGATAGCGATATCAGCCTTGTTGCTTCGGTACAGAAACTCCAAGTTTAGTTGGATACTCTTAATGCCGTCAAGGATATCAAGGATGTTCTTAAACGCCGACCGTGATTCAGAGGATAGCTTCGACTTGTCATCGTTGGCCCCGATAGACCGGGGCTGTGACGAGCTGGACTGGTCTTCCAATAAAGGATCAGACTCCTTCGGCTCCCGGTCACCTTCCGCTGTGTCTTGCTGTTCTTCAACCTCCACTTCTGGTACCAACTCGGCAATTTCCTGACGGACTTTTTGAAGGAATTCTTGTGTGCTGTTATCGTAAAGATCAAATGAAATTTGATATGCCACTGCAAGGGACCGTGCATCGCCTTTCTCCACTAACTGGCGGAGAATGACAGATGCCATAGAGTGTTCGTTGAGGTATACGACGCACTTCGCTATCGAGAAATAATCGGGATTAGGGATCTCATTCAAGAGGTCAAGAATGAGTTTGAGAATCTGGAAAGTAGATTAGTTCCGGAGTTCCTGTAACGCGGACAAAAAACGTACCTCGTGACGGAACGCACGCTCCTGTACAATACCCATGCAGATATCCAGTACATATTCCATCAGTTCTTCACTCCTTCGAGACTCGCCGTTCTGTTTCTTCTCGTCTTCACTTGCCCGAATGATGGTTTTCCGAAGCACGTCCAAGCTCTTTGCTTCGATGGCAATTCCGATCACCTGGCGATATCGCTTTTGGATGAAGCATTGCTCAAACAGACGTTCCACAACGGCCTGTAACTGGCCCTGAACACCTCTCTTCAGGACAAGTGGCGTTTCAACCTGGTTCACGCTGGCATCATCGCCACCGGGGTAAGTTGCATCAATACCTGGTACTTCTTGTCGAGAAAGGAGCGACTTCGATGGTAAGGCAGACTGCGAAAACGGAGTGATCGGGGACGTCAAACTAGCAGAGGTGCTTGTAGCACCTTCGCTGGAAGTGGGGAAGGCAGTATTGAGATTAGCCGGCTGGTCACCAGCGGCAGGTCTTTGAGCAGCAGAGAGGGAGATGAAAGTATCAACGCATTTAGCTGTGTGTCATATCACGTTAGAGGGCGGCCCTCCGTGTATCTTCCGAGGAGCATACAAACATACCAATAATCGTTTCTTCGAATTCGCCTCCGTTGTCTAACTTGAAAAGCTTCCCCGCACCGAGTGCAAATACCATACTCTCATTATATTCTTGGAGGTGATAGTAAACTTTAGCGGCGACAAGAGCAGCGAGCTCGCGTTCTGGAAAAGTCTCATCTTCGTAAAGAGCCTCTCTAAATGTAACATGTTAGCGCGGACTCCCTGGAAGGAATTTGTTTGATGGTATGGATAAAATCACGCCCAAGATCGAAGGCCTGGCATGATGGAAGAGATGTCATAAGCTCGGAGGGAAGCCATACATTTGCGGGACAGCATCCACCACTTCTGTCCAGAGCAAATCAATCTGAGAGTCTAAGGTCTTCAAGGCAAAAACCCGCAGCTCAGGGTCTGGCTCAGAAAGGAAGCCGACGAGGCCAGCAGCCGAAGCGAGTCCAACCATGTCTAACGGATTATGCTATCGCTGAGGGATGAGGCGACAGCTTCAACGGAGCTTTATAATAGTCAAATTGGCCCACGGGGATGATGAGGGGCTCGAGTCTATACGTAAGACCAGTAATAGCGAGATCTACTGGGAAGAGGATGATGAAGGGAAAGGATACAAGGAAAAAAGGACAGCAGTTAGAGATTCGGAGTGATCAGGAAGCTTCGTAGATGAGGCACACGTCAACGGGCTTCCAGGCTGATGGAAAGGTTCCCGTGGTTCCTGCAGAAACCCCTAGAGATCTCACGTGATCTATGATGGCATGGGCTCAAGCTCCCCGAAAGGGTCACGAGCCCACTTAACAGACACAACCTTTTAGAGCTACCAACAAAGGTCACACATCTAAGTCAGGTTCAATGCTCTGACTTGCTTTTAGGCACCTTATATTCTAGTTTTCTGTGAATCCGATAAGAGATTTTTATTTTCCAGTCTCAATGTCCGAGTAGCTTCTCTCTAGCCCATAAACCAGGTGAACCATCTTCCTGTTTAATCATGTCGACAGCCCTTCCGAGAAATGGGGATTCACGTCTCTTATCTCTGCCCATTAGGGCGTCTGCCTACCACCAAGATCCTCTCATTTATATTAACCGTCAAGCGAAACACATCCAACATAACCTACAGGCTCTGATCGATGCTCAAAGCGAAGGTCTCCTATCAGGCCTCCAAGGACCTCAGTTAAACGAGACACCTACTGGAAGCTCTACCCCTTCCACAGAAATCAATGTCCTGCAGACGCCCTCGACTGTCCCAGTCAGACAACCGGTTGCGGAAAAGATTAGCTTGCGTGCTGCGCGCGAAGGAATTTTCAAATCCATATTTGACTTGCTGAAACTTAGGGAGGAGGAGCGAGAAATACTCACAGCTTGTGTTGCTGTACGAACTGACGCGCTGGATGAAATTGACGGCTTTATCGCCAAACAAACTGGGCTCGAGGATGCTGTGTCGACAATTCACAACAATAGAGAAAGTCAACGCACCAAGGAACTTCGAGAGGAAGGTCATAGGCTAGAGGCGGACATTCATGAGTTGGAGACGAAGCTGTCTCAAATGAGAGCCAGGCATCGTCATGTCATGGAAGAGTTAGCACACATGGAAAACTCGGTGGACTCCAAGTTATCCTCCTACAAGGCCTCCTTATCCCTGTTAGAGTCGGAGATCCAAAAGTTCCTTCAGAAACCCCCTGTCCCACCCCAATCGAGCTTCGCTAATGGTGCAACATTATATTCATTGAACCCTAAACGCCGGACGCTTGAGATGGCCCGAGAGCATTGGACAACGGAGCAGTCCGATATGCGAAAGAGACAAGAAGAAGTAGATCTTGAGATACAGGCACTTGAAGCCGGAGGGGGAGTCTGGAAACAAGTTGTTTTAGAAGTTTGTCGATTCGAAAGACGGCTCAAGGTAGCCATGCGCCGTTCACTACAGAATCAGTCGCAAGTTTTAGAATCTTCTAGGGCTGTTGAGAATAACACCGAACTTGACCATGTTCGTGGGATTTTGGAAGACCTACACAATACCACAGAGCACGTGGAACACTATCTAGGAGTTGCAGAGGAGAGGGACTGGAAATTGCTTGTCTGTTGCATTGCGGCGGAACTCGAAGCATTGCGAGAAGCGCGAGAAATGCTTCTTGACGCCTTCGATATTTGGGATGAAGAACCTTCGCTGTCTTCAGAACGAAGGGTGCCTGACAAGCCTGGAGAAGATAACCTGCATGATCCACATCAAGATCCCCTTAATTTCGACAACCCTGACCCTCCCGCTGATCTATTAAAGGATGTCGAAGAACATCATTCTGACACCATTTCTAGATCGGACGACGAAGATGATGAGCCGGATCCCGCGTGGCTGCTACCAGAAAGTTAAGAGAGACCCATGAAGAAGGAAAAAAAAGAGAGAGAGAGAGAGAGAGATTTAATATATAGAAGTTTTGACAGTTCTTGTTGGGATTACTCTGGAAGAAATATTAATATTGTAGTATAGAATAAATACTAGTAGCTATAATTATATGACCAAGACCGGTCTGGGCTTATTGTCCAGCGTCGTAGGGCAACGTCCCTAAAACAAAGCGCATCGGGGAAGACGCATTGACCAACTTTGCGACTTCGGGGTCTTAAAACCCCTCCGGCAGCGTGACATCAGGAACCGTTCGCCGCGTTAACGGCTCAGTTCTCGGGTATGTATCTATATTGTTATAGATTCAACATAGACATCTTGTGTCGAATCCTGTAAAAATATGTATCTACCCTCTCCCACATACTCTTTCACCATTCCTTCACTTCACGATGACACTCAACTCGACTGTCGCCTTTATCTTCCCCGTACTCCGTTGCAGTCAGAAACTATACGAGGGGCTATAGTCGCACATCCATATGCTCCCCTCGGTGGGTGTTACGACGATCCAGTCGTAAGCTTTGTCGGAGGCGAGCTTTTGAGGAGTGGATATATCGTGGGCACATTCAATTTTCGGTAAGTAGAATGGCTAGCTTTTTTGGTGCACCTTGGTCTCTATACTGGTTTACTCTTTTTTCCTTCTCTTTTTCTCTGGCTATATATATCATTGAATGGGTGTATACTGATATTTTCTGTAGTGGTGCCGGTACTTCAGAAGGACGGACTAGTTGGACCGCGAAGCCCGAATTAGCAGATTATGTGTCCTTCTACGGATTCATGCTGTGCTACTTGCATTCCTTGAGGTCGCAAAAGGTTTCACGTCGAGGGGATGGAAGTATCCCAAGTGGGCCCAGTGTTGAGGGCCCTGATGCGCAGTGTACACTTGCCCGAGCAGATATCCATCTCATTCTCGGTGGTTATTCCTACGGCTCATTAATTGCATCACATCTTCCCTCACTTGATGTCGTTGCGGATATCTTCAAAAATATCACCGTTAGTACACAGGCATATGGAATCCTCCAAAGTGCAGCGAAAGTTTCGGCTCTGCTCGAGGCCAATGACTCAACCCAAGAACGAAACTGGGCAACAGAAGACCACCTGGCCATGGAAGAACCGCTGGATATTTCAGGAACAACAATTTCATACCTTCTCATATCGCCCCTCTTGCCGCCACTCAATCTGTTCCTAACGTTCTTCTCAACAATGTCCTTGGATATTGGGGCTCACAGTCCAGCTCAACGGAGACAGATTCCATGCCCCAAGCCAACTCGTCAGCTATGCGCCCATCCGACTCTAGCTATTTACGGAAATTAGGACAGCTTTACATCTTCAAGTAAATTAAATAAATGGTCAGACGAACTGTCGCATGCGCCCGGGGGTCAATTTCAATCGGCCGAGATTGACGGAGCTGGACATTTCTGGAGAGAGAATGGGGTCGAGTCGCAGGCAAGAGATGCACTGGGAAAGTGGTTGCGTCTGATACCTTGACTTTCTCCGCAGAATAGCGAATAAAAGGTCCCTTAATGGCAGTTTTATGATCCCTCTAGGAGAGGTCTAGAATGTTGGACTGAAAGATGGATGGGACCGCGTTCCCCATTTTCAGGCCCGTTTCACATGCGCACCCCTATCTCCAAAGCATGTGATAGCCCTGGTTTCGCATGACCATCCCCAACTTATAGTGGGGATTTATCGTCTCGAGTTTGAGATTCGAGTCCAAATGCCTATCGTGTCACTGGGCCTGGGGTTCCGTAATCGTTTTGATACGGTCACACAAACTTTCGCATGTTAAAACATGGGTATCGCAGCTTACTGACCCTTGACCCATGACTGAGAATTTAGGCTCAGCTCGTGGATCAGGAATATCTGAGGCAATAGTCATGTATAATACTACTCAGTAAGCATTACATAACTGTCATCCTTGCCCACCAATACCCATAACCGGCATCTCCATCACTGCTCATAACTCTTACTGTAAATGTTGGGTTGCATTGAAATCTCGTATCGCATCAACTTTGAGATATGCGGTGTGGTAATGTTCAGGCCATCGCATAGAAACACCCTGTACGGAGTACGCTACATACCGAAGAGCGCTCGTGACCCCGTATGATACCTACTAACTAGGTATACTAGTAGTATACTCCTTGACTAGTCGTAAGGCAGTACGTAGTACTTGACCGTACCTCATCATCCCCTCCATTCAGCTTGTGGGGCTGTATGAGATCATCCAGCCGATGATCTGGGCTGAAGGATTGGCGATCATCGTCTACAATATCCGGGTTTTGCTTCTCTTTTTAAACATAGAGTTTTGGCTGTGTAGATTTTAGAACCGAAGGTAAATCTTATAATGTTCCTGTGGTTATGGGTTGAATATAGTGGGATGTAGTTGGTGCTGGTTCAACGGTGTCCAGACGGCGGGCTTTCCGAATGAAGAATCCCCGCGAAAAGGATTGATGCGCATGATGAGCGGTTTCCCTGGGGCTGACTAGCACTTGTGGCGGTCGATAGCCACTGAACCGGACTTCTGCCCAATCACCAGGGGCGGACAGGGGCCCCCTCGTGACGTCTGGATCTACTCCGGACGGGGCCTTAGGCTGCGCTGCTGACACACCCCCAGATTTATCCATGATTTGCACACATTTTCCCCGAACCATCCCAGTCTTGTTGCACCCCACGGTCATGGAGATGAACACTTATATTCCCTGACTTATGCTTGTCTCTGATTCGGTGCTAGATCTTCATTTTACTTATCCCTTTCCATGTGTTCTCCTTTGACCGGCTTTCATTTAAGATAGTTTCTTCCATCCATCGATCTCTTTTTATACTAGCCATTTGAGGTGCTATCGGTTTCTCGGTCGAATGCCTTGATGTCAGTGGAAGCCTGGCATGGCAATCCTTCATGACTCCCCCATAATAAGCCCTCGCTGCCATTCCAAGAGTAAACATGCCCGAAAACCGTCTTCCGTCAAGGAGACTTCTGGTACTCCGTTTCGCTTCCTTTCGAGGGCTGTTTCCCTTCCCTCGCTGTCATCTGTCATCAAGTCCTCCCTGACTTGGGCCGGCGACACTTTGTATAATGTGAACCAGGATAGCTCCTCCAAGGTGGGCAAGGGTGGGAATAGTACTATCGAGGATCGAAAGCAGGTGCTATATCTTAAAATGCGCAATGTATGTTAGCACTTTCTTTACTGGGCATTTCTCCACTATACGGCTGGTTCGCCTTGCAGTTTGATATGCTTTCTAACTGTATGATTCAGGCTGTATCATACAAAGAGTGGAAGGACTGCGCCTATGAGTTGGACGAATTAGAAGACAACAACTCCTGGAAAACAACCTTCGAGAGTTCCGAATACGATCCCCATCTAGTACAGGAACGCCTGAAGCAACTAGAAGAAGCTCGCATTAGCTGTGACGTTAGCCGAATGATGTTCCTAATCCGCACCTCCCTAAGCCGCGATTTAGGAAACATGCGTAACGATTCTCTCTATGGGCACTCGCACGTGGGTACGAAGGACTTGATTGATCAGTACATCACCACAGCCCTCGACACAATATCGTCGCTGGTAGACCTGTCAGCGAAAGGGCGGTGTGATGGGTTGGAACTGAAGTATATCCTTGATCAACTTCTAGCAGCAAGGCAAGCTTTTGGCCGGAGCGCCTTACTATTCTCAGGTGGAGCAACATTCGGTATGAATCACATCGGCGTGCTCAAAGCGCTCTGGCAGGCAAAACTGCTTCCTCGTATTATCTCTGGCGCTTCGGCGGGAAGTATTGTTTGCGCTGTCTTCTGCACTCGGACAGATGATGAACTGCCGTTACTTTTGGATACGTTTGCCTATGGGGACTTTGCTGTTTTCAATGATCCCGACCAGGAGGAGAATATTCTTCAGAAGACCGCCAGGTTTTTGAAGTACGGCTCTTTTCTGGACATCTCCAACTTAGCCAAGGTTATGCGAAATTGGCTTGGGGATATTACATTCCAGGAAGCATATAATAGAACGCGCAGAATACTTAACATCTGCGTTTCTAGTGCTGGAATCTATGAGCTCCCCAAGCTTTTAAACTACATAACAGCGCCTAATGTGTTGATTTGGTCTGCAGTGTACGTTCTACTTTTTCCCCGTTTCCCCCACCACACCCAAAGTTTTATTGTCGGACTAACTTTCACAGAGCTGTCTCCTGCTCGGTGCCCTTAGTATTTTCGCCATTTGTTCTCATGGCCAAAGATCCAGAGACAGGAGAGGCAGTCCCTTGGAACGACTTGCATAGGCAGTATATCGATGGCTCAGTAGATGGCGATCTACCGATGACCCGCCTATCGGAAATGTTCAATGTCAACCACTTCATTGTGTCGCAAGTTAATCCTCATGTGGTCCCCTTTCTCCCAAAATACGATGGTCCGACCCACGGAACACCGCAGACCCCGTCCTTGACTTCTCGGCTGTTCCACACCATGACGCACCTCGCGAAGGATGAGGTATTGCATCGACTGACGGTTTTATCTGAACTTGGTATTTTCCCAACATCTCTGACCAAAACCGTATCAATCGTGAACCAGAAATACTCCGGGGATATTAACATTTACCCTGAAATACTCTACACCCATTTCCCTGTAATTCTAAAGAATCCGACTACGGAGTTCATGCTCAAAGCATGTCTTTCAGGGGAGCGTGCGACGTGGCCCAAACTCAGACGGATTCGAAACCACTGCGCTATTGAATTAGCGTTGGACTCGGCTATCCAACAGATGCGGGCGAGAGTGGCATTTAGCTCGAGCCAGACAGCATTAAGGACAATCGGGCTGCCTGGCTATTCGGAAACCATAGACGGTAGCTGTGGCCGAGGACGCTTGCTGAACCGGAGAAGCTCCTACAGTCATGAAGTTGAAAAGGCCAAGCATATCAGGGCCAATTCTGGTCGCCGAGCAAGACCACTTCTAAGACGATGCTGTAGTGTACAGTCACCCGAACAATCGTCAGACACCGATCGGCAAGATGAGACAGATGATGATCGAGTTGAGGCTCGTGAAAGTTATTTTCCCGACCTTAGCGATGACCTATCTCTCACGGAGTCTGGCACTGACGAAGAGACGCGACCCCTGGGTTTGGAACGACTCAGGCTTGCAGATGGTCGAGCAGTTCATCATCAATTATCTCGCTGGTCCGCTCCGCATGGTACCCTCCCATCGCTGCGGTCATTACCAACTACATCTATTCACTCAAGGAGATCATCTGTGGGCACACAATATCAGCCATCAACCCATATCATAGATTCCTCTTTGACTCCGCCACGCCAGTTATCCACCAAATTGATATCATCCTCTCAAAGCCGCACTCTCCGCATGACACCCACGAGCCATCCAGACCTCACACCTCGCACCTACAACTAGCCAAGCTGTGCCGAGGATCTGCTCATGATAACCGAAGCACCTAGCCAGATGGTATGACCTGTTGTATGCGGTATGCCGGCTTTGTGTCTCCGGTCTGTTGGTGCGCACATTTACTGTCTTGCTTGGAACAGCCAAAATTTTCAATTACACTATAAGGAGGTTGCAAGCCCGGAGTCCGACGTCCTCCTGTGGAATGTAGCGAGGATCGGGTGGGCCTCTGTGGTGCGTCTCAGAAGATCGTCATCTGGGATGTAGTGTTTATGATTTCTTTGGTCTTTCGTCAGATTTCTTACCTTTCCACTTTGTCATCTTGACATCTAGAATTGGGGACTTTTGTAGACGGATATAGGTTTGTTACTGCTGCAAAGCTGGCGGCGTTCTGACATTGGCGTTCTCAAAGAGAGGATTGGCTACAGGTTGATCCTCCCTGATTCGCAAGACTTGGCTATGATAGACGGCTCTTTCAATCATACTTTGGTAATATCGTTGTGTACGCCTACATTTATACCTAGATAGTCTGTGCTAGTAACTATATTGCTTAACTCATATATGAATGCATAAGGACAAGGTACATTGTCCGATCTGACAGTATGCAGTGATCAGTGTTGAGCTCTATACGATTGATCATATAGGCACTGTGAGACCAGAATAAGAAGGAGTGATACAGCACTTGTTCGACTTGCGAGCGAGCCCTAACTTGACCAAAAGGCCAAAGATCCCGATTGGTCTGGCCTTGTCATAGAACCTAAATAGATAACGCAGCAACATCAGTACTACTAGCAGTATACTCTCCGCTGCTTGACTACGTAAAAGCCTCCCCACGTTGGGCTTTCAACCATCCAGTCTCTTCGTGCTCCGGTGTAAGATAAGTACAATAGTACCCATAACAGAGGAGACGATGTTACATGCCACTTTGCTCTAATAGGGCTTTTATTCCTATAATCCACTAGGTATAGTCTATGAAGCTCTCAGGGAAATATAACTTCTACGAGGTATCGCTGCTGACACTCATATTGAATACTATGTAAAAGTAGCATCCACACTATCCTAACATATAATCCAAAGCGTTGCTTTGGAAATTTGGCAACGTTACTAATGACAACATCGTGTTACCCGCGGATGCTTTGGGTACGGGACAACTTCAGCGCTTATTGATCTAGGCGGCATAATTTGCTACACATATTTGCCATTTTTAGCTTCCTTAGAATATCCGAGGTCCTAAATTAATCTCTCGGTTCACCTACTAACCTTCATTTACTCCCCCGCCCTCCTCTAAGCTTGGCTCGAATGGCATTCCCATGTCCGAGCTGCGGTATGACCAAGGCTTTCGATGAGAGTATATCAGCAAGCATGACCAGTAACTTGAAGACATTTTAAAGACTAGATTAGCATACTGCGAGAATGTTCTTCACATTGGGGTAAACAAAGTCCAGGTATCCTACTGGCGCTTCCACTTGTCTCAGCGCTCCAGCAATCAACTTCATGGGTTCATTACCGTCTAGAACCTGTCTGTTGCTAATATTAACCACCCTGGGTGTCGTGCTTTTGCGATAATTATAGAGCACCGACACTAATTAGGGTGATGCAGGTAATTGTTTCACGATTCTGTCGCAGGGATGTTTGGCGCTTCGCTTGGTGATGGTTCTAAATTTGGCCGAATTATGCAGTGTTAGGTCGGAACTAATTCCTGCGATCAAGGTAATTAGCTCTAGACAATAATAGACTCCTTCAAGGAAATTTGCTAAGAATGGAACAGGACCTAAGGTCATGTCAATCAATCAGCGATGGATCCGTGGTTCCAGGCGCGGAGACTAATGCACCTGGCCGCACTTCTCCCACCTATCCCGGCGGCTACTCTGGAGTTGATCAGCGTTTCTTGTGGAGGGTTGCTTCTAATGTTGGCAACCAACTACACTAATAACTTAGGGTAGTACAGACTACCTGCAGTGCATGCATGACACTGACCCTGCGCCGGTAATTCGACGGGCACGAGACAAAAAAAGAATCATTCCTGAAACTCTTGGCTCAAGGACAAGCTTTTATACTCCTCCATCCTCTACAATGCGACTGGAACTTCAGCCCAGGCAAAATCCTTCTGGATTTATACTTTGGTCTGTGCTTTGTCCGACGCTTCAGCTCATGAATCCTTCCATATCTTGAAGTCCCTTTTGTTTCGTGCCTCCAAGCGTCTTGATTGTTCGGCGTGCATTAATTCTCCTTGCGCGTTTCAGCAGCTTGTTAGCGTTCAACTTCCACTACAATTACCTGGACATTTTATTATTTGCAGCGTTGTTACTGGTGCCCAGGAACTTTGCATAGTGCCCACTATCGCAAAAAGTTCATATAGGCTTGTCCCATCAGCATACCTATTAGCCCATAATCCTTGGGTTGCTACATATTCGAAACTTGACTTGTCGCCCTTTTTTTTTTTTTATTCCATACGTCGAGTTATCTTCATCATGGCAAGCTTCGTACAACGGCCCCTGAACCGCGTTCGCAAGCCCGACGCCTACAAGCCCCTTCATGAACGGTTTGGAGACGTCTCAATATCAGCCCCGACTGAAGGATCATGGAATCAACTCGAAAGCCCTCGGCAATCTACTCACAGAGGTTATGGTCATGGCCTCGCCAGGGGCAATTCTACCAGATCCTCCCGGGAGAACTACGATGCAGCCTCTGCTCCGGACAATACTCCCCCATCTAGGCAGAACTCCTTTTCCATGAGCACATTGAACCCTCGTCGTCTTTCGATGCGTTTGGCTCCACGGTCACGACATTCCACCGAGGACCCAAACGAGAAAGAGCATCTGCACCACCCCGACCGAAGAACCGAGTTTGCCTACAAACCTATCCATCAAGACTACTCTACTGAGGTTGCTGAGAAAGCAGCTTCGCGGGTTCATGATTCACCTCGATTTCGATATATCCCTGCCGATACCCGGGCTGCAGCTGTCTCGACAGGAAGCCACAGATACTCTGCGAGTTCGCATCATAGTATGCAGTCCAACCACGCCGAGATTGAGGAGAGGTACAATCAACCCAGGCGATACTACCGGGATTCTCATCTTGAGGACAAGTACGATCACTACGTTGAACCCCACGAGAGGTCTCACCGGTCATCACGGGCGGGATATAGAACTAGTGGCGAATATAGTGAGTGGGTGATGGCCGCACAAATGAACACGACTTCATCGTCAGAGAAGAAGAGGCTTCGTGCTGCGAGGCGCATGACTATGACCATGGTACCCGATGCGGAGGACATTTATGGATAAAAGTTTATGGACTTCTTTTTCTGAGATTTATAATCTTGATCATCATGTCATGATGGTGTATATATCTGCGACCGTTATAGCGCGATGAGCATTTTCTGCGTTAGGGCTTTGCAAGGCGTTGGTGGTTGGCTGAATCACTCCCACGAATACACGTATAATGAAGAGCTTACGTTACCTCACATCTGATATCTACAATCTAGAACTGCTTCTATTCAATTACATGGATATAATCGGTGTTCAAAAGCACTGCCGGCACTGACGTCAGTGTGACGATTAAGGAGCATTGATTCCGAATTCCTCCTGTTGAATATCCTGTTGGCAGTCTTCCATCTGGATCTGTAAGAAAGGAGAAACTCTTGGCTTCATGGAAATTCTGAAGTCTTGGAGTTAGGGCTCGATTGATATGAAGTCATGACCAGGAATTTCCCAAAAAGGAAGTCGCGATCATCCATCCATGACGACATGTTCACGCAGGACCGCCTTCCATTGTACAAATAAATACTCTCTTCCCTTGTCTTATCTCTGGCAGACTCTAATGTTGAATAGTTCTCTCCGGTTCCACCTAAACACACACAAGACACTAATCAAAATCAAGGGGAATAATACTCCTCCCGATTCGTGACAATGGCGGAGCCGGTCGTTCAGCTCCAATGCGGAGTAAAGGTATAAGCAATCCTTTTTCTAGTATTGTTCTTGAATATGTCAACTACGAAATGCTAACTACTCTACCTTTCCAGAATGATCCATGGGGTAAGCAAGGAAAAAACTCGTTCGCCGGTCAGCTTTGGTCCAAGACCCCAAAGAACGGGGATGTAAAAGATGACCAAACATACTCTGAGGTACTTCCAGCTACATATGTGGGATAGCGAAGGCGTTGCTTCTGACATCTGTAGATGTGGATGGGCACATACCCGACTGTCCCTTCTCGAATTCTTTCAACAGGCGAGCTCCTCTCCGAGTATCTAAAGAAGAACCCACAGCTCGTTGGGAAATCGGCGCTTGATAAGTATGGGCCGGAAATTCCGTTCTTGCCGAAAGTGAGTCTTGTACTTCCATGGAGTGTGTGCTGGGCCTCAGCAGAAGATGAGTTAACGCAACAAACCACCAGATCCTCTCATTTAGTAAAGCGCTTCCTCTCCAAGTCCACCCAGACAAATCACTAGCAGAGCAACTTCACAAAGAAAACCCAGACCAATTCAATGACCCAAATCATAAGCCTGAGATCGCAGTCGCGCTGTCCAGTTTCGAGCTTTTTGCTGGCTTCAAACCCCTTAGTGAAATCGAAGCGATCATGAAGCTCAAGCCAGTTGAGCAATTAGTACCATACAATCAGCCATTCGACGACGAAGTACTACGAGAACTCTGCAAGACGCTCCTCACTTTGCCTCCGATCGTTGTCTCAGAGATCATTCAGGGTCTTAAGGATCTCCCAGAAGCTCAATTTGGAAAGCATCGTTATATCCCTGGGATGCTCGATCGACTTAGCAAGCAATATACCGAGTTCGACAATGGTAACCTCGTTGCCGCGCTACTGATGAACTACATTACTCTTGGACCTGGGGAGGCTGTCTGCGTACCTGCGGACAGTATCCATGCGTATCTTTGTGGTGACATCGTTGAGTGTATGGCGCGGTCTGATAATGTGATCAACACGGGGTTTTGTCCGCGTGCAGACCGTGATAATGTCGATTTATTCACGCGCGCTCTGAGTTTCAAACCACACGGAGTGGACGAGGCTCTTTTGCCACGGAGAAAGAGTGACAAGGGTGTCAATGGGAAATCGGATGAGTATGCGCCTCCTTTCAGTGAATTTAACGTGTTGGCGACTAGTCTGGGAGCCGGAGAGCATGAAACACACAAGGCTATTTCTGGACCGAGTCTGCTCTTTGTCACCAAAGGATCTGGGCGGTTAGAATTGACCGAGGGCAAGTCTGTCAAGACGTTCGACCTGCAGGAGGGATATGTATACTTTGTTGGACAAGGGGTGAGCTTGGATCTATCTACGGACAAGGGAATCGCTGTGTATCGACCATATGCCGAGTAAACGGAAGAATTCGAAACACTACAGTATGAGACATTTTGGATGGGATGCTTTTCTCCATGTACACTGGGGTCTGTAGACGTTGAGGTTAGGTTTGGGGCCTAGTCCTGTAACAACGCGTGGCGTATAGAATAATAGAACGAGCCGACCGACAGGCATATCCTGAAAACGCCCGATTTGAACATGTTTAAAATTCTAGAATGATAGAAGGCAAGTTGGATCCGCGACCAGTTACTCAGAATCTCCGATTTCTCCTCATTTTGCTCACTTTAAAATAGATCACAACTAATGCGGGTCCGATCCTTCAATTGCCGCTGATACGACCATCCGAGCGCTTGCAGCTCCGAAACCGATCATCGTCAGCCAATGAATCTGCAATCGCGCCGAAATTCTTCTATTTTTGGGGTTCTTGCTTTTGTCACAGACTGGTGCGTGCTGGATACACTGCATACTGTCACGCTGGCTAGCCGCGACTCAAGGCTGGAGCAGATGCCCTGATCGGAACTTAAAATGATCTCAAACAAGCCATCCTGAAACGAGGCTGGAGGTGAATTTGAGTTCTTAATGGGGGGAGTCTCCGCTCTTCTTGAATTGAACTGACCTGAACTGAACTGAGGGGGAAGCTCAAGTGTTTTCTCTCGGTCAGCGATCCCTTCCATCTTACCCCGCAAGCTGGCAATATGTTTCTCCCTCTTTGCTCAAGGTCATTGGTGCCTCGATCGAGTGACCCAGCCACCAACCAGATTATCATCGGGGTTGTATTGGGTTGTGTCGCTGCTATTGCTAGTAAGTAGAGCCTTTCTTCTCTATATGCTCACCGAAATCATGTTGTTGACGTCAAACTAGTCACTGCGGGGATCCTGTTCATCCTCTTCAAGAAACGGAGATGGGATCGCATCCGACAATACGAGGAGAACATGTTGGTCATGCATGCACCGATGGGATATACGCCCCAGGAATATCCCTCCGACAACCAGGGAATAAAACGGCCACGACCCTACTCGTCAATGTATTCCTATAGCCAACCACGAGAGCAAAGTCATACCCATCCTCGTGGTAGACTGTCCGGGGACACCCCACCACCCGCATATACCACTATACCCGCCTATGACCCCTCGAAATACCACGGCATTAGTCAACTGCCACCATCAGTTAAGATCAATCGACCGACCCAGGTGGATCCGGTCGGTATGTTTGAGGAAAGACCATTCTCTTTTATTCGAGGAGTCGAGCAGCAGTACACAGGACCCGCGGAGACACAGAGAAGTTCGTCTCAAGCAGAGCACCGGGGATTGTCACTGGAGAGCTCTCGGTCGATGGACTCGACTAGTAGCACCACCAATTTCTCTCGACCTTTAGAGGGGGCCCAATCACTTCGACGACCAAAACCTGTTCTGTCGAGGTTGGTCACGAATTTTAATTAGGGTCTGGTTTCAACTTGTCATATGGGATGGATCTGTGGGGTTTGGTTAGCGTTGGATTGGTAAATGGGATTGGAATGGATAAATGGGTCAATACGGCGTATGGTGTATGGTGTGCTTTTCTCTTTTCCTGTTTGCTTCCGGCCTTCCTCCTTTTCTTTGGGGAAGCGATGCGATGGGTTCATGACAGTAACGATCTCTGCGTTCCTATGCCGCGGCGTTAGGTATAATGAAATTGATGATGACCATGAAGCATGTCCTGGGTCGCTAAGTATGGGCTCGTAGCTAATGTCTCGCTGTCACGGTATTCTGATGGATGTGATGTGCTAGACCATGATCCAAAGGAAAGTGGACAATCATGCTTTTGCCCGTTCTTGTGCACAGCAGAATATATAATGTACATATGTTCCTGCTGAGGTTGAACCTGAGTGAGTAAGTGATGAGGTTGTCTTGATGGCACTGTCAACTCACCCTTTGTGGGACCAGATGTAACATGTAGGATAATGAGGAAGGTTGATGCTGATATTCAAGAGAGGGCGGAACTAACACCCTTCCTATTCTGATTCAAACGATGGCTCCTTCCACAGAACGGCATGAGCATAGCCAAACAAGCCAAACATCTAGAGCCAGCAAAGACTTAGATATAGGTCTCTTCACTAATGAAGAATACTATGTCACTGCTTGCATATTTCGTGCTCAATATCTGTGGGGAGGAAACAGGTCCACTTGGTAAAATGAGGGTGGCAAGTTACTAACAACGTCCAAGTCCGACTCATTGGAAAAAAAAAGGGCAATAACTGGGCCATTATCTCTACCAGTAGTACTTGAGACAGTTCGCCTGCAGCAGTGAAAAGCATACACAGGAAAGGAGAAAGGAAAGAACGGTGAAAAGTACTGGAGAGTTGGTGGGACTTGTCTACTTAGTCTACCTGGTTGCGTACTTGTGAGGGGCACAGTCTCGCAGGGTGTGTAAGATGACTCCATCAGTCCGACTTATTACAGGGACTGATCATTGAAGCCGGTGCTGGCGCTTGTGTCTTGTTGGATATGGTGTCTACTACTAGTACTTCTGGGCGTGACGTCCATGGCATCTGCAGGGTAGCATTCCGACGGATATTGGCAGTGGGACTAAATGCTCGGCCACTCAAGCACAAAGAAACGGAGGTACAGAAAGACAGGGAAATAAAATAAAATACAATAAGAAAAAAAAAAAAAA